AGGCTTGAGGTGTGCGAGAGCGGTGCGGATGTCGCGCACGCTCAGCTGGCAGACGTGCACACGAGCTGCGCCAGCATGCGCGCTCGCCGCACGCTCCGCCACTTTCGGATCCAGCGCCGGCCGCGTCTCGCTATATACAGTTTGAAAATAAGACGCGAAACATTGCGCACTCGACTGATCACTTAACTCTAGACCATTTTTTGTTACTCGAGTTTTGTTACGTCTAGACTGTTGACGTAATTCCAAAAAGATTTCGGATCGTCCTTAAAATTCAGCTGTAATTTCTCCTGGTAGGCTTCATAATTGACTTTTAACTTATATTTTATCTGAGATCGATACCGAGCAAACGCTTCGTAATCACATTGCGCACTCGTCATTTTATACAGTTTATGATACCTTCACTTTCGCTTTATATCGTGTATTAAATTGGACGAGTACCATTCCGGGTAAACATACCTGGCATGATTCCTATTAAGTTTGGCCCTACGGGCTCTGGGAATACAACGGTCTACTACCTCATTTACAACCGTATATAGGTACGATATGGCTACCTCCGGGGTGTCAATTTGATACAAATTACCCCAATCAATTTGTTGAAAGCTATCGTACAATATATGAAAGTTGGCTTTATAGAAATTCCATCTCCGTTTAATACAAGATTTATCAATCTCATCACGAGAATAGAGGCGTTGCACCTGCTGCTCCCTGGCAGTGCCCATCGTCACGGTGACATACACCGGAGGATGTTGTACGTCAATATCTACTAACGGGTCATTACACAACTTTATCTCCACTTCACGTGCTAAAAACGTTGTAAATACTAAATCTAAAGTACGGTCGTTAATATTACGGACATTATTTACCTGGCGAAATCCACAGACGGCGTTAAAATATTCCATATAACTGTGCATTTCCACAGGTGCTGAAGGCATATTAAAGTCACCAAGCACTATAACATTATTGTATTTAACACAAATATTTTCTAATATAAGAAATAATTGCATGTATTCTCTAGCTACACTATGCGGTGGGATGTAAACAACGCAACATAGAAACATAAACTTCTTATCACGGTGTACCGTCGCACACACAATTTCAAATAAGGCGGTGTCCACATTGCCGACAGGAACGCTTTTCAACTCCAGCGATGACGAAGAAGCTAGAAATACTCCTCCATGCCTGCGGCCATCAGAGAAACCAGGTGGTATAAGTTCACCGTCATGTATGGATCTATGAAGACTTGACTCCGTAATTGCAAATAAGTCGTATGGTGACTCCAAAATATTCAAATAAAAAGTAGATAATTTTCATATAAGATAAGTCCTCTAACATTCTGGTAGTAAACATTAATGCCCTTATAACAGGTTTTCATTACCTGTTTCTGGTTTACGGGTGTTTCGAAACCACACCCATTCATTAAATCGGGTATGTATTGGCCAACTATATCTGCAGTTCACTTTTTTCAAACGTGGATTCTGGAACACCAATCCTGAATGACGAATAGTCTCTCTTGGTTTTTGGAACAATCTTTTCAATTTTGATATCCTCAGAACCACAAATTTTTTTCACGTGTTCCCTTATCGCATCTTCCGAGGTTTCAAGATGGAGTGACCACACGAGCAAAAACTTCTTCTTCTGTATAGCCTGGAACGAACCGATTTGGGCGTTTCCTCCAGTTTGGATTGCCTTAAGATGGGCCTTCTTAGACTTTTTATGGCCACCTACTACTTTCCATTCTTCAGTCGCAGACGTTTCAATTATAGTTGAATCATCTTTTTCTGAAATGTTTACTTCCAGTGTGAAAACAGCCTTTTTTACCCGCTGCATAGCTCGGCGCGCGCGCTGCGTTATTTTTTTCTCTGTTATAGCGACCGTATCTGAGGATATCGGTGTCTCGCTTGCACTTGGGACTGTAAGTACCTTAGTCTGTACGTCGGTCTCGCTGGTCGACTGCCCAGCCCGCAATAGGTCGATTGTTCTAGCGGGCATTTCTTCGATTACCCTCTTCAGGTCACTTATCGTCGAAAACAATTTCTCAATAATGAGGTGCTGATTTTCTATCTTCTTATTCTGCGCTTCAATTAGGGTCACTTGCGTTGTGATTTTTGTTGTCAACGCTTCTACATTCTTTGATAAATTGGCGAAAGCAGACTCCACTTTAAAACTTGTCATTTTTACCGAAATACTGAATAAAAACACGGCGACTAAAGTTCTCGTGTCAAGCTATCTAGCTAATATGAAAGGTTTCGGGTCTTTGGATAAGAGCACGAGGGAGATGGAACGTTGACTTCCTGGACGTGATTTAAAGATTTAAACTGCTCAAGCTCTCTTCTCTATCTCTCATTTTATTAAGATGTTTTGACAGAAACTTCCATTAGCCATCCGTTCCATGTCTCCACAGGCATAATGACTCACTAACCCATGCGCAAACATAAAAATCGATCTCTTAGGTTCTTTTTTTAAGTCCAACTTGACTCTCGTTGACGAGGGGTACACACCGCCCATCATCCCGCCATCTGATTGCTCCATTCTGGATGTACGGTTTACACAGCGCTCCTCTCCCTGGACGTCTACAAGTCGATTCAGTTTGATGGAGTCCCTCCTATTGTGCTAAATACGGATTTTCTGGAATTAGCACCGGTTTTAACGCGTCTTTTGCGGCTGGAAGACGGCTTTAGTGCATCCGATCCCTAAAGGGGCGGCCGCTCAAACCCGTCCAACTACCCTTTTTCCAAAATAATGAAATCCAATACAATTTTTACGTAGTAGGGCCATGCCGAAGCTATATTACTGGTAAACTTGTAGCATGAACGGGTCGGCTCGACCGGGGAAAAACCAAGCTCTTACAGAATACCATCGTCAAACAGCAGCTTAACGCTGCCGTTGCGTTTGGAGGGTGTAGAGGACCGGAGAATGTTTTTACACGAAAAGAACGAACGAAAAAGAAATTTACTCAACTTATAGATGAGCGAAATCAGAAGAATCCAAGAGGGATGCCCGTCGTGCTTTGGATATAGCGAAAGCCGTCCATGAGCTTCTCCATAAAGCGCTTCTTCAGAAGCTTCCTTCCAATGGGCTTGTCGAAATATTGTGCAATTGCGTCATCAGTTTTCTTGCGGATCGGAGCATCAAATTCGTAATAGATGGTGCATACTCCAAGAACAAGCCTCCTTATAATCAAGAAAATGAAAGCACCTTGTGCTAGTATTCCCCAATACTGTGTGCTATCCTTCGCTCTTTCTTCTGTATATCATTTTTCTGTTGCTGTTAATGGTTATAATACAAGTGATGCTTTTTACACCAGCCGTGATAATATTTCTCTGGAACACGTAATCGGATGTCGGAACAAACTTGTGTCTGAAGTTGAGTCTTTAATAAACAAAATCTCGGATTAGGGATGACTCTAGTCCAGTTTAAACTTCACAAGATGCAGGTTTTACCACTAAAAAGGGCCCCTTTGTCGTATCTCCTCAATTTAAAAGCACTCCCTATGCTGCCTCGGAAAGCATTAGAATCCTCGGAATCAACATATCCATTAGAATCCTCGGAATCAACATATCGAATAACGTAAAGTTCACTTGGAAAGAGGCTGAATTGCCTCTAAAAAGCTTGGCGTGCTCAGCGGAGCGGGACAGTATTTCATGCCGGCACACCTTTTGCAACTTCAAGTTCGCCCTTACATGGGGTATTGTTCTGATCTTCGCATCAGGACACCTCAATGCCAGCTCCTTCCACTTGAGCGCATCCAACGATGAGTGGCTCGCATCGTCGACCAACGTCGACATGTTAATGCAATCATTGCATTTTCTACCGCATTTTACACGCGGAGCTTAGACAAATTGTTTGGATTAATTCCAGTCACTAAATTCCACCAACACACATCGGGACCAAACTTACGGTACCATCTGCACCATCTGGATGCTTATCTGGGCAAGCACAGAGAGAACAGGCCAGTGGGGGGGGGGGCGTATATTCATAGTTTGCCTAGGGCTGTCGGAAATCTAAATCAGGCATTAAATTTTAACGCCAATAGAAAATGCAGTAGGTGCACTACTGCTTGGTGGCAGAATCACTAATTTTTTATACAGGACAGGTAAGTCAGTGGAATCAAGTCAGACGGAACCCTAGGAAGAAGAAGAGTCCACATATTAAACGTAGGCTGGTGCTGGTCAACGCGTGATTTATTTCGACTCTTTGATGTTATCTTTGCCTGTTAATCCATCAAAAACAAGGTGGTTTATATTTGATTAATTCATACAAACTCAACATTGATTAAATTATATGAAAATTCTAGCGCCACAAAAACAAAATATTCCGTTCGTAGAGATGATAATATATAGGTCAATTGAAATGCTCCATGCTATACCGCGTGTAAATTGGTTTTATTAAGGCAATGTCATCATGTTTACTGCGTTACAAAATTTCCTTTAATTCTTATGAGTTTTTTTTATTTTGTTTATAAAAAACTCATAAGAACTAATCGAATTTTTTAACTTAACTGAGAAAATAAATTTTAGTCTACCTGTTGTTAAATAGCTTCTGCAGACCATAGACGCCTGTAACCAACCTCAAACAAAGAAATATACATATACTTTACTCTTGGTGTTGGACTGAGATGGAATGCCTCAGAGCTTATTATTATATTGTCTAGAGCCTTATTCCGAAAATAACTAAATGCAAAACCCTTGTTAGATTTATCCGCAGCTATAAATTTTAATATGTGAATAACGTTTAATCGATTTAGAAGATCAGGGCGGTAATTATTTTGTCTGTCTTTACTAAAACTATTTATTAAAAAACTGTGATATTTAAAAGAAATATTTATATACAATCGGTCGAATCCTACATACCCTTTGTACTCGTAAATACTATAGCAAGGTTATGAACAAAATACCATAACCTATAAGCTAACTTTAACTATCAACATCCCAGAGAACTATATATTAATCACAACTACTTGACATTGAACTAGAATCACAAACAGCAGACACTATTAAGAAATGGAAACACATCTGCATTTCAGTCTCAATGGTGATGTCAGAACTTTTAACGGTGTTGTTACTTGCTTCCGTAAACTGAATATTTTAAATCAATTTCTTTAGTTAGTGCATTAAAATTAAATATTAAATTGTACTGACATCACAGCTATTAAAACTTGAAAACATTAAAGCAATGTGAACATTTTGAAACTCTTAAAAAATTCTTACTCATAAAAGAATAACATACAAACGGTCTCAAAATAAAAATAATGAAGAAAAATCTATTAATTTTTTTAGTATTTCAGTCGGTCGTAAGTAGAGATTTGGATGAAAATCAAAGAGCTACGCGTGCTAATTTTATTCAAAAATTAATTAATAAAAAGAAACATTTAGAAGGAAGATTGAAACTAATCGGAGGTGCTAACAAATACGAAGGTAAAAGAAAATTTCATTGTTGTGATTATTGCATAAAAATGTATCAATATGTTTTGCCCAGTGTAATTAACTAAATGAAAAACCATACATAAACGTATGAGTATATCAACCCCACCCCAACCCAAGACATTGGATTTCAAAAACATGGAATGCCCAAAATTTCAAATCTCTTGATAAGACATGATTTTTGCTCTACTAATTTCAAAACAGGCTTCTTTATAAAAAAAAAAAACTTAATAGACGAATAAAAATAAATTTTAATATATCAGTCGACTTAATACTAATATTTTAATTTTGTAGGTATTTTATTACAATATCTGTAGCAGTTCAAAAATTAGACGCATGTTTTAATTTCAATATTTTTTGTGACAAATGCGTATAAACACACTGTGATTTATTATTATTGTTATTTATTATTATTGTTATTATCAATAAGTTTTACTGAATATAAATATTTTCCTTCATCGTCGTTATCATCATCATCGACCTAAAAAATTCCTTATTAAATATAATAAGCCTTGATCGTCACACTTGGCAAGTGAATTGACGATCGCAATACCAAACGTGAACACCTTTTACGCTGTTGCCTAACGCCGGATTGGTCATTTGTCATCCGACTTTTTTATTGTAAGCGAGGCATACGAACTATGCCGCTGACATGATGGTAAGTGACTACCGCAGCCCATGAACAACTGCAAACCAGGGTAATTGTAGGCACGTTGTTGGCCTTTAAAAAAGAAAAGGCTCTATTCTTGGAGGTCCCTAAGTCGTATCAGTCTGGAAAAATCGCTGGTGGTAGTCGATTCACATTCACAAGGAATTTGTGCTAAAAAGAAAACTTCTTGTAAATCGTGCAGTGGTGGACCGCCGATCATCCGTGTGGATGGTATCGTGAATTTTGTCGCGATGTGCAATTGTGAAATTGAGCAGCTGGAATTAGTCCAAACAACTCTTCAACGCTTTGTAGAATTGTTTGGACTCTGAGATCTCCCCATGGTAGATATGCAAAGAGATGCAACATCTCTTCGAAGCGCCAGTGAGTCAAGCTGGTCAGATAGAACTCGGTCGTTGACGATTCAAACCGCTCTGTGCTGGATGTGATCAAGTGCATAGAGCTGATAGTGGGGTGGCCCGGCCTAGAGATGAGAACTGTATTCCATGTGAAACCGAACCTGCATCTAGTAAAGCTACAAGTGGTGTGCCGGCATGAAATACTGTCCCGCTGTACAAAACACGCCAAGCTTTTCAGAGGCCAATTTGACCTCCCCTTCCAAGTAACCGCGGAACTGAAAGTTATTCGATATGTCAACGCCGAGGATTCTGACGCTAGCTGAGGCAACAAGGGGAGTGCCTAGAAATAGAGAAGATACGACAAAGGATTTTTTAGCGTTAAATGTGCAAACTTTTGTCTTCTGGGGATTGAACTGGAAATTCAGTCGCCTTATACTAAAGATTTTTTTCAATAAAGACTTAACTTCAGACACAAGTATATACGGCTCTCGACGACGTGTTCCCGAGCAACATTATCGCAGCCGATTTAAAAGGCATCACCTGTGCTGTCATCTATACAACAATGAATGTCGTAAATGTTTAATAACATATCGTTGAAATGCAGAAGAAGCAGGGAAGGCGATAGCACGCAGCCTTGCGGAACACAACATTTAAAGGTTTGGAGATAGAGCAAGCACCGTCGAATACGACGTTAATGCTCCGATCTGAGAGAAAACTGATGATCCAATTACATAAATACTTTAACAAGATGGTTACTCTTACTTCCCGTCGTCACCTCTTAAGATATCCACGGGATGAAATGGGTTTCTCTTACGCCGCTACCAAAAGGCACGTCATGACTTAAAAAAAAATATTGGGTGAAAGCTCGTTTTTGGGCCCACTCTAATGGGCTCAAAAACTATTGTCTCTCCTAAAATTTAACGTAACTTAATGGTTTTACACAAAAAAGATACTAATTTATTACAGTAAACGGCCTAATCTTTAGATTTTATGAAAATCTAACCGGAATCATGATGAAAAGAAAAGATTTTTTTTGACCGTCATGTAATATGAAAAATATGTATGTTTCCTGTTAATATAATAAAAAGATAAAAAAGTATTTTTGAAAAGGATAACTTACTCGTATTTTGTACATATATTATGTACTTGCATTGACATATTATTCCTTAGTCGATTATATTCTCTACTAATCAATCACTACATGTAACAAATAGTTTCCAGACAACTTTTGTTTTTCTGTGCACTGTGTTTTTCCGGAACTACTAAAAGGAATTTATAGGTACTTTAAGATTGATGGAAAATCTGAATGTACCTACAACTATGTTTTATACTATTAATTATTTAACAGTACACTATTTTTACTTATAATACAGGTAAAACTACTGGACAATCACTTTCAGTTTGTTTTTAGATTATTGTGATATTTATATTTTAATTGTTAATTTCTAATATTCCCGTTAGATGAGGTGAAACTGATATTAATATTTAATCTATAGAACTATAAAAAATATCAACATGCATTTTATTAAGTTACGCCACAATGTGTGGTGGGCCCATTCTCCATACAAAAAGAAATTGTCTCCTTTGGGATTCTAGATATTCATATAAGGCAAATTGGAAATGCAAAATAATGAATGTGTAGGTCTAATAGTTCTTGAGTTATGGGGGATTTGAATGTGGCTTGTAATAGTTCGTGTAAATATACACATTACCGGCGCGTCTCCCTTTTCTTTTCTGAACTTAAATGATATACTAATACCTAGGTGACTTGTAGATAACCCTTTTCGTACTCCACTAGATGGAGTGACGACCTGGTTAGACATTCAGGAAGTCGATGGATGCAGGTGGCTCAGGACCGTGCTTTGTGACCTTGGGGGAGGCTTATGTTCAGCAGTGGACTTTTGAAGGGTCGTAATGATGATGGTGATGATGAGATGACTTGTTATCTAAAACTCTATTAAAGTTATAACTTAGGTACTTTTAACTTAGGTAATATCTATATATACCACGCTGGGCGTTGGGGCGCAATATGCGATGACTCCTGGGATGAAGCTGCAGCTCAAGTTGCTTGCAGAACATTTAACAGGACCGGTGTTGCCACACATGGTGGTCAATTTGGAGAAGCTACAGGTATCATATACATTATTCATCCATTAGAGACTACTAAAGTCCACAGCTGGGATATTTTTATCGTTGCGATTGTCAAGGGGGTTAGCAAACGCAGTTTATTTTTACTAATTATCAGGAAGATGCTGATGATCATCTCCTGTTTAATTTCAACATCCCAGCTGTAGCCTTTTTACGTGGTAGAGCAACGGTGTAGCTATGTATAGCTGCAGCACGAATCAGTCAGCTCGACCAGGGCAGGTCCATGCTCTAACGATATACTATCTTGAAACACTAGCATAATGCTGCTTTCTTTCGTATGGTGAGTGTAGATAAAAAAGAAAACTCTGGCTAGAGAAATCATAGTCCTTAGGAGTGATAACGGATGCGTATTTTGATTTTTTAATCGATGATAGAAGTAAACGTTTATGGATCACAATTTTTATAGATGATAAAATCTTCTGCGAAATCCATACTCCATTTGAAGTCAACATTAAATTCCAAAAAACACCCACACACACACACACACACACACACACACACACACACACACACACGCATTGTTGGCTTTTGGGTCTGGTCTTATTTTAATCGTGCCCGTGTCTCTGACAATGCACCTTAGTCTACTTCCAATCTCGATTAGAAGACATTTCTGTATTTCCTATACAGTTTGACAGCTTTTTTACCAAACGGCCACACAATCCACCTAAGTGAACGCTGTAGCCCATAGAAACCTACATATGCCCTCGATTAAGTTGGAGAACCATGCTGCATATATTGTGGTTGCAGTACGAATGGGTCGGCTTGAAAGGGTTAGGACCACGCTCTCACAGAATACCAGCGTAAAATAGTAGCTTAATGGAGCCATGTTTCGTATCGGAAGTGTAGAGAACCGGATACCTTTTTTACTAGAAACGAGGCATTCCATCTCAGTCCTCAGGGTTGGCAACGCATTTGCATTTTGATTTTGATTTGAAGATAAATGTAGATTTCGATGGGCCACAGCATCTACTCGTATGTTCGTATGCTCGTTTGTCACCCGTACACTATAAGAAAAAAAGATTAAGAATGAAAATGCTAATACGTTGTCTTCTCTAAGGACTAAGATGGAATGCCTCGTTACTAGTTAAAGGTGGTCTCCAGTTTTCGGCACTCATCATACAAAATACAGCAGAAATGTGCTGCTAATTCGCGATAGCAATTTGTGCGAGAATGGTTGTTTTCTGGTTCTATGCTGTAGCGTAGGTCCGCGTTTAAAACGCTTACCGTGTTAACGTATTAAAATCGGGCATCAAAGTCATACTTGATTTCAGAAAAGTTTTGGATGGATGATGTAGTCTGTGAAGGGAACGAGCCATCGCTATTGCAATGTATTTTTAGTGGATGGGGCTCATCTGATTGTGAGAGGAGTGAAGTAGCTGGTGTTATTTGTAGAGAAAAAATAGAAGAAAGTCCTCTTCCTCTGAAACAACCAAAGAGAATGAAAACTAAAACGTTCTTACACCAAGTGTTAGACGTGCGTGGAACTAGTTTGCGGCTAGTTGGTGGGCGAAATTCTAATGAAGGCCGAGTTGAGGTAATACTATTTACTTTCTCTTTTTTATGTTACGTTACTATTACCATCAGGCCATGCTAGACTGGCTTATTGAAGCAGAGTCAAGGGACTAAAATGCAATATATCATTACCATTAAAAGTACTGTCCTTTTCCATTCACATATAATAGACATGTTATTCATTACATACCCCTGTTTTTCACTGCTAATCTGTGAGAGCCTTGCGATGGTGGCTCCATCGCAAGGCTCTCATTCCTGTTGCTGCTGCAGCAGTATATATACTCCTTTTTATGGGAGCAGTGGTTTTAAAACTTCTTTTTAAATCCACTGCTCCCATAGATGCAACAGGCCATATTAAACGACATTATTTACCCATGAGACAATTTAATTCATTTCGTAGGTGACGTAACGGTGGAAATTAGGATTACAGTAAATCATTCCATTTTGAGTAAAGCCTAACTTCTGTAGCGGGAGTTAAAAAAAGAAACTACATAAAAAGAAAATGTGGCTTTAATTCAATGAATTACCTAAATTACAACACTAAGTTACAGAGAGGATTCATAGTTCAGAAAATAATAAGCTCGTTAAATAATATCTAGCGGGTTGGGAAAAGTAGTATGACCTTCAAAAAAATGCATCCTGCTTTCGATTATTCCCTAAGACTCGAAATACTGACTTAGCAACAGTTCATATTTTCTAATTTACTTTTTTCACGAGATTTATGAGTTTAACTGTATGTATATGCGCGTGTGTATATATTGTGCGTGTTCGACTGTTTCATTGGTCCAGCGGTTGTAAATACAACTGCTGATTGGATAGTCCTAGGTTCGAATTCCGGGTTGGGCTAAAACCATTTACTGGGTTTTTCTGTCAAGAAATTTTCAGTAGCAGCCCGGAGTTATGAAGTTGGCTGTGTTTCACCCCATGGGGGTGCAGGTTGCCCTCCAAAAGCAGGTTCAGCCGTTAGTTGCACGATTGATCTCTCTATTCATGTCGTATTGCCGTCTGATTGGACTGACTATGAGAGTGAAGTAATATATACAGAATGCCCTTGTGCTTCCTCACACAATTGTGCGTTGTAATCCTGTCCTACGCAGGTGACTAAAATTCTGTCTGGATATTATTATTTTTGCGTGTGTACGTATTTTATACAGAACTCACGCGTCGTCTACTCTTCAAGTGTAATTATATTTCAGATTTACCACAAAGGAATTTGGGGCAGTATTTGTCCTGACGGCTGGACTATATACGAAGCTGCAGTTGTATGTAAACATTTAGCTCTAGGCTACGCTGAACAAGCACTCCAAACTGATTACTTTGGATCTTCTCGGATCGTACTGAGCGGATTGCAGTGCGAGGGGAACGAAACCAATTTATTTATGTGCAAACACGGCGAGTTTGGTAACGTGTTTTGTCCTGGAGAAAAGGGTAAGGAGTTCCATTTTTATTAACAAAGAATGTTCGCAAATCCATTTATTACCGAATGTAATGACGAATGAATGATGAATTCATAGAACATTGTAGTTCTATTGATGCAAGTAAATACAAAAACAAAATCCCTATCCGATCTAATGGAAAGAGTGCTGGCGAGCTTATACTACTAGCTATATTTTTTTTAAATTTTGGAACAATCTGGTCTCTTCAGGATATTTACCCTAACTCCAAGAAAGTGGTTAGTCATCACTTAAAATGCAATTAATATTGCAAGCCTTAAGCGCAAAGCGCGTAGGTATGTTCTACTAGCACTTAAAATCAAGAATCCAATGTTTTGTCGCGTGAAATCGTATCTAACAATCATATTTAACATATAAATGATATAAAATCACATTGTCAGAAATAAAAATGATTGTAGAACTTTTTTTAAATCGATTAATTGCTATTTTAAATTAAAAAAGTGGTTTTAGTTGTATATGGTGTAGATTTATCACGTACGCATGGAGGGTTTTTAAAATATCAATTATTCAACTCAATCTATTTTTAATCTATTCATCTATGATATAGAAAGCCATGGAACGTAAATAGCTGTTTAATTTTGATATGTTTAGTTATAATTAATTATTTTCGGTTGAGAAAATCCGAAATTTTCGTTGCTTGCGCAGCCTTGTAATAATTTATTTTAGTAAATACAGATACACATTGACTCACTGCTTACTGCAGGCTCGGCCGCCGTCATGAGTGGGTTTCTGTATCGTTTGTTTACAGCGGCTCGTGATAAAAAATATCGATCGCTGTAGAAATACAAAATATTCCAATAACTTAATTTGATACATACTTGACCAGGGTACATATTTATATTATTTTCATAATCACAGATTTCTATTACAATATATTGTTTCGTATAGCCGTGTAGTGGCGGTTAAGAATATCCACTACCCCATATCTTCCCGTGGGTGTCGTAAGAGGCGACAGAGGGAGACAGGCAGGAGATGGGCAGCAGCATCTTCCTGATAACAGCAACTGTACGACAAAAAAAAAACTGCGGTTGCCAACCCGCTCGCCAAGCGTGGCAACTATGGCAATATACCCCCCATGAACAATTACACAAATAGACGGCCCCCAGTCCCCGGCGGCCCCGCTATTCCTGGCTACGGTGGCGACCATGGTAACGGCGGGGCAGGGGGTGCTAAGAATCTCCGGTGGAGGTTCGGTTGCCACCTACGACGACTCGACCTGGCAACATTTAACGCACGCACACTGAGGACAGACGAGAAGATCCTGGAGCTGGAAGAAGAGATAGACAAGTTGCGCTGGAGTATTATAGGATTATCCGAGGTCCGAAGAGAGGGGGAGGACACGGTGATTCTCGAATCCGGCAACTTGTTCTATCACCGGGAGGGCGACCTTCTGTCCCAAGGAGGTGTCGGATTTATCGTCCACAAGTCTCTCGTCAACAACGTTGTACAGATTGAGAGTGTGTCGACGAGGGTCGCGTACCTGATACTCAGAATCACCAAACGGTATTCGCTGAAGGTCATACAGGTTTACGCACCAACGTCGGCACATTCCGATGAGGAGGTGGAGGAAATGTATGAGGATATTTCCAAAGCCATACATTCCTCCAAAACCCACTACACGGTGTTGATGGGAGACTTCAACGCAAAACTAGGCACAAGACAAAGCGGTGAGCTGAAGTTAGGGAAATTTGGAGTAGGGCAACGGAACCGAAGGGGCCAGCAGCTGGCCGACTTTATGGAGAAAGAGGGACTCTTTATGATGAACTCTTTCTTCCAGAAGCGGCCCCACAGGAAGTGGACCTGGTCGAGCCCCGACGGTTCGACAAAAAATGAGATTGACTTCATTATGACGACCAGACGCCAACTGTTCAGTGATGTCTCAGTGATCGCAAGGGTGAAAACTGGCAGCGATCACCGAATGGTTAGAGGCACACTGAACCTAAACGTTAAGTTGGAGAGGTCTCGTCTAATGAAGTCAACGCTCCGTCCCCCTCGTGCTCTGATCCAAAATCCCGAAAACTTTCAGCTCGAGTTACACAACCGCTTTCAGTGCCTACAAGATTGCAATGCAGTGGACGATATGAATGACAAGCTCGTGGAAACTGTCCATGCGGTCGGAGCTAAGTTCTGCAAGACCCGCCGCAGAAGAACACAAAAACTCTCCGATCACACTCTTAATCTCATGGCTGTTAGACTGGAGATGAGGCTGCAATCGTCAACAGATTTGACAGCATACAGGCAACTGAACAGACAGATCTCCAAATGCATGCTGCGAGACTTACGCAACTTTAATACTGCTCGTATTAAAGAAGCGATCGAGCGGAACCAGGGCTCCAAAGTCTTTGCCAGAGATCTGTCTGCCAGAAAGAGCCAACTGTCAAGGCTGAAGACTGAGTGTGGCAGCATCGTTTCCGGGACACCTGAGATTTTGAGTGAGATTGAGAGGTTCTATGGGCAGCTGTACACATCATCGTTGGAGCCACACGCAAGTGTGAGTAACGATCCAAGAGCAAGTCTTATCCGACACTATTCCGATGATATCCCGGACGTCAGTCTAAGCGAGATTAGAATGGCTCTCCAGCACCTTAAAAACGGCAGGGCCCCAGGCGAGGATGGAATTACAGCGGAGCTTCTGAAAGCGGGTGGAACACCGGTACTTGAAGTCCTTCAGAAGCTCTTCAATTCCGTCCTCCATGGTGGCACTACTCCAGAGGCGTGGAGCAGAAGTGCGGTGGTCTTGTTCTTTAAGAAAGGCGACAACGCTCTCTTGAAGAACTACAGACCGATTTCCCTTCTGAGCCGCGTCTACGTGCTGTTTTCGAGAGTCATTACGAATCGTCTCGCACGCAGACTCGACGACTTCCAGCCTCCCGAACAAGCCGGTTTCCGAAAAGGCTTCAGTACCATAGACCACATACATACCCTGCGGCAGATTGTACAGAAGACTGAAGAGTACAATCTGCCACTTTGCCTGGCGTATGTGGACTATGAGAAAGCCTTTGATTCCGTCGAAATTTGGGCGGTGCTACAGTCCCTTCAGCGGTGCCAAGTTGACTGTCGGTATATCGAAGTGCTGAAGTGTTTGTACAGTAGGGCTACGATGGCTATCCGAGTACAGAACCAGAGCTCGAAACCTATCCAACTGCAGAGAGGTGTAAGACAGGGTGACGTTATATCCCCGAAACTCTTCACCGCTGCTTTGGAAGACGTTTTCAAGCTACTGGACTGGAAAGGATACGGTATTAACATCAATGGCGAGTACATCACTCACCTTCGATTTGCCGACGATATAGTCCTTATGGCAGAATCGCTGGAGGACTTAAGCACTATGCTCAATGACCTCAATAGTGCCTCCCAACGGATAGGTCTTAAGATGAACATGGACAAAACAAAGATTATGTTTAATGTCCATGTCACACCTATGCCGGTAGTTGTTGGGAGCACTATGCTCGAAGTTGTTGACGAGTACGTTTACCTGGGACAAATATTCCGACTAGGTAAGTCCAACTTCGACCGAGAGGTCAATCGACGGATTCAACTCGGCTGGGCAGCGTTCGGGAAATTACGACATATCTTCTCGTCAGGTATACCTCAATCTCTGAAAACTAAAGTGTACAACCAGTGCGTGTTGCCAGTGATGACTTACGGATCAGAGACGTGGTCCTTCACTGCTGGCCGTATGAGGACGCTCAAGGTCGCTCAGCGAGCTATGGAGAGGGCTATGCTCGGAGTTTCTCTGCGTGATAGACTCAGAAATGAGGATATCCGCAGTAAAACCAGATTGACCGACATAGCCCAACGGATTAGTAAGCTGAAGTGGCAATGGGCCGGACATATAGCTCGAAGAACCGATAACCGATGGGGAAGAAAGGTTCTCGAGTGGCAGCCTCGTACCGGTAGGCGTAGTGTAGGGCGACCCCCCACTAGATGGAGTGACGACCTGGTAAGATATGCAGGAAGTCGATGGATGCAGGTGGCTCAGGACCGTGCTTTGTGGCATTACTTGGGGGAGGCCTATGTTCAGCAGTGGACTTGTGAAGGGCTGTGATGATGATGATGATGATGATATTGTTTCGTTAAAAGTACGTGTGATTTATATATAAATATACTTATACGTCTTGGATTTTATGGAGTGGCCTGAAGGTGTACTTTGGTGAATGCTAAATTTAAATACTGATTATAACTAGATGAAAAACTTTTTGAAAACAAAATAAAGTGATGATAAAATAAATTTATTAACGAGTCAGGTAAAAAACATTAGTTCTTACGATAATGCCTGAGTACACATACCCAAAAAATTTTAAGATAATTCTATTAGAAGTTTCCTCAATTAACAATAATAAAAAGATTGAAATTCTGTAATAATAACAAATATTTAAAAAAAATCTATTGTCGATTGAAAAACTTTTCTACGTTTTTTCACGACCATATGAGCATTATGAGTCGTGCACTTATGGATTTTTATAATATAAAATTAATTGAAAATTAGAAGTAATAGTAATGAGGTTATATGTGAAAACTTAAGTGTATTTAAAACAAACATGAGCGCTTAAGGCCAAATTATTAATGCACATTTGGACTTACCAGAAGTTTTTTTTTTCATTGTGTCATCAGGAATCAATATTAATCAGAGCCACCATGGTAGGGAACATAAAATCAACATTACATCCACATCCACTGTTGAACAAAGGCCTCCCTCATACGTTTCCTTGTTGCCTGGCTGGCAGGCGAACTGATATTCACAGTTTTTATTATTTTGAGTTGCTACCAGAAAGATGCTTTGGCCAACTTACATTTCAGTTTCCCTCCATCGTCTTTTAGAATAGAACAGAATCATTTTTATTCAGAATAGATGACAAGAATAGCTATTGAAAATCATTTGTGCTTTTACTACAGGTTCGGAAAAAATCTGCCCTGGGAAGAACTAGCAAAAAACCCAGCGGGGTTTTCTTTTTTAACGTTAATTTACAGTACAATTTTTGACATGTTTAGAAATAGCATGGTAGCAATCATCCCATTACTAGGGGTTATTATCAATCATATACTCTTTAGTGGTCCTGACATAGATAGATGCTGCATACTTTCTGGGACTTTCTTGTAAAAGCGTATTAATGTATGAAAGAATTACTGACTCTTTAGTTTCGAGTAACTATTATATGGAATAATTTAGCTTGTGATTGCTTTTAGTATTTACAGAATGTACATCACTATTTTCAATAAAACATTTTTTTGTCTTTATGTACATACATAATTTTTTTAAATATACTAAGGGGCCAAAGCAGAAACATTTTCATATGTGTAATCAAAGAATGACACTCATTCCAGGATACGTAGCCGGAGCTGTTTGCACACGATACTTACCAGACTTACTTCTCGACACCACAGTTATAGAACGAACCGCTCATTTACACGACGTTCCTATGTTCCAACTACAATGTGCTATGGAAGAAAACTGTCTCAGTAAATCAGCATATGAGGTGCGAGATTAAATTTATACATAATATCTTAATCTATTATACAATAATTGATACGTCTGTTTGTAATTGTGTAAGTTCTGAACGACTTATTTGATTGATTTAGATTTAGATTTTAGCCTTGGTAACCCAACACATAAGTTTGAGCTATTCTAGAACCGTATAGGTAGCGCTCTAGTTTATTTATTAACAAATTCAATATACATTGCCCAAAATAACCAATATTAACAATTTAAAAAAATCTAAATAAATCCTAAATCCTTTTTTAAAAGGCGCTGTGATTGAGTTATTAATAAATTTCATATCTATACTGAAATAGTTAGGGGTGAATTCGGAATGAAGTTAATGGCCTCCTGAAACGGAAGAACGTCTGCCGGGTCAGGTTAACATAAAATAGGTATTGGTTTAGAAAAAGTATAAAATTTAAACTACAACACACAAACTAATCACTTGTGTAATTGAAAGGTATCTTCTGTCTCAAAAGACTACACATAGTCTACTTTTGGACACTCCAGTATAAAGATGGCCTTACCGTGTAGTGGCTGCGTGAGAACATCCACTACCTACCCATATTATCCCCTGGGTGTCGTAAGAGGCGACAAAGGAAAACAAATCAGGAGAAGGGCAATAGGGTTTGCCTCATAACGACTTAAAATAAAAAACTTCGGTTGCCAACCCGCTTGCCAAGTGAAAGTCGTCAATCTGTCTGCCAAGCGTGGCCAATTAAGGCGAATCCTCCATATACATTCACACACACACACACACGCGCGCGCATTTAACAAACTACAATTTACACTAATAACATAACATCATACCAGTTGGTCGACGCTCATAGGTTCGATCCCGGTGGTGTCATCGATTCATTACCATATAAGGTGCTATCTCGTGAGGCAACGGCTGCAAGCGAGTGGCGGGAGCGCAACGCCTCCTTGTACCTTGATCAGTCAGTTACGTACTACGACGGAGAGAGGTTGTCGCTTTAGCTTACGGACGCTTGCTATTAAAATATTTACGTGTGTAATAAATCCTGTTAACCCTTTTCTCTTAAGCTTCTCTTCGCTTTTCTTTATATCTATAAGCTTGTTTCTTCTTGTAAGTGTTGCATTCTCCTTCTGACTATATAATTAGTGGTGTGACTTTGTATTTCTGTGCAATAAATGTGTTAGTGTACGAAGTGTTAAACATTATTTATCTATACACATAACAACAAACTCCACACCCACTACATTACATATAATTGGAGGCGCCTATTGACTTAGAAGCATTAGCTAAAAGCCAAGCTTCTGACCCTGAGTTTGAAAAGCTCATAAAAGAAGGCTCTTCACTACGCCTAGAAAAACTTACTATACCCGGGAGTCGAACCCCATTGTACTGCGACGTCAGTACACCGACTTCCCGGCCATTTGTAACCAAGTTTTTCCGAAAACTAGTTTTTAATACTTTACATTCGCTCAGTCATCCAGGCGCTAACGCAACCGCCAGATTAGTGGCAGAACGTTTCGTGTGGCCGAAAGTTAGAAAAGACTGTCGGGAGTGGTCACAAACGTGTTTACCATGCCAACGTTCGGCATGTTAGCTCACCTATAGGCACGTTTAAAATACCGCGTGCAAGGTTTAAACAAATTCACATCGATCTGGTGGGGCCATTGCCATTGTCGGATGGCTACCGTTATTGTCTGACGTGTGTTGACCGCTTCACAAGGTGGCCCGAAGCTGTTCCGATCGCTGATATAACAGCAGAAACGGTTGCGAAGGCTTTGTTATCTTGTTAGATAGCTCGATTTGGCTGCCCCACAGACATTATAACTGACCGCGGTAAGCAATTCGAGTCAAACCTTTTCCAACAACTCGCCAAAATAGCCGGATTTCAGCACAAACGCACGACGGCTTACCATCCGGCAAGTAATGGACTGGTGGAACGATTCCATAGGCAGCTTAAATCTTCCATAATGTGTCATACACGAGAAAAATGGACCGAGTCACTGCCATGGGTATTGTTAGGCATACGCAGTTCGTTCAAAGAGGACTTGCAATCATCCTCTGCTGAATTATTGTATGGTGAACCTTTATCTTTGCCCGGAGAATTTTTTTGAGCCCAGTGCCAGCGGTACAACGGACATAACCGAATTTGCATCCCGCATTCGCGCGTTTGCTCAAAAATTACGTCCAGTGCCTATGTCTCACCATAACAATAAAAACATCTTCATTTTTAAAGATCTTGCCCACAGCAACCACGTATTTGTACGTGAGGACGCATCACGTGGATCCTTGCAGCCTAAATACAGCGGTCCTCACAAAGTCCTCACTAGAAACGACAAAATATTTAAAGTCTTGGTTAACGGGAAGAAAGTTACGGTTACAATTGATCGCCTTAAACCAGCCCATATACTATGTGACGCATCAGATAAACTCGATGTTAATAATGCTGTAAAAACCACGAAAGAACACATAACACGTTCAGGACGTCGTGTAAAATTTACCGATTTTTATCGCCCTTAGCCAGGTCTCTGGAGGGGGGTGATGTGGGGAACTTGCAACCTATACATAATATATAACACAAATATACATTCACACACACACACACACACGCGCGCATTTAACAAACTACAATTTACACTAATAACATAACATCATACCAGTTGGTCGACGCTCATAGGTTCGATCCCGGTGGTGTCATCGATTCATTACCATATAAGTTGCTATCTCGTGAGGCAACGGCTGCAAGCGAGTGGCGGGAGCGCAACGCCTCCTTGTACCTTGATCAGTCAGTTACGTACTACGTCGGAGAGAGGTTGTCGCTTTAGCTTACGGACGCTTGCTATTAAAATATTTACGTGTGTAATAAATCCTGTTAACTCTTTTCTCTTAAGCTTCTCTTCGCTTTTCTTTATATCTATAAGCTTGTTTCTTCTTGTAAGTGTTGCATTCTCCTTCTGACTATATAATTAGTGGTGTGACTTTGTATTTCTGTGCATTAAATGTGTTAGTGTACGAAGTGTTGAACATTATTTATCTATACACATAACAACAAACTCCACACCCACTACACAGGGGAAGAGGCCCGTGTCCAGCAGTATAGCTTAACTGGCTAATGGTGAAGGAAATTATATATAAATTATATTATATTATAAATATAAAGTGAATAAACTAAGTAACAAGCCCAGGGATTAAAACTGTAATTAAAAAGTAAAAACATGACAGTATCCAAAAGTTGCGCAAAAAAAATTGTAAAAGTTTTACACCCTGTGTCACTTTCACAACTAAAATGAATTAACGACACCATCCATCAAGCTGTTCAGGCTACAGAACATGCCAAATAAATAGACCTATGTCTGCATAGAAAATCGAAAAACATTACCTCCCTTATGAGGCAATCGGATAAGAAGTGTTGTAAATAAAAAATATTTTTGAGACATCCTCAGAAAGAAAGAATTACTATTATAATTATTGTTATTTAATTATAAAGGCACTGTCACCTTTGAATTCGTAAATCAAAGATAGATTTTGGTGTCCCTTATAAGTACTATACACCCCCTGCATTTCAATGGCACCTATTCCAACGTCTAGGTAAAATATTTTGTACAATATATATTTTTTTATTTATTAGATTCAGCAGACCAACTCAAATTGGCAATTCGAAACTCGTCGTTTGCTTCGCTTCACTGCGTCTTCGTTGAACATTGGCAATGCGGAGTTCAGGCCATACCTACCCAAGCATCTATGGCAATGGCATCTTTGTCATATGTAAGTGGAGCTAAGATAGATCGATAACGAATTGGCTAAGCACTTGGCTGCGGCGATAAAGGTCACGGAATGATTTCCGCAGGGAATAAGTGTTTGTATGGTTTACAAATAATTGCTTCGGATGAAATACTTTTCTATAACATAAAAGAAATCCTAGGTTAGGTAGTTATTTTCTAAATTTTATTACAAAGTCTTGATGGTGGTACTTAGGCTCTTTTTCTGCCTAAGATTTCGTCTGGGTAGCTCTTATTTCTGTTTCAGTCAGCAACAGTGTCAGCCAATGATATAATTACGGACCGATAGGCATTCTATCGAAGTCCTCAGTGGTGACAACGCATCTGTAGCCTTCTTTGCTTAAAGTAAGTTTCAGATGTCCATAGGCTGCAGTAGACACTCCCATCAGGTGGGTTGTTAGAATAAAATGGCATCGTGAAGCATATTACTTCAAATGTAAGCAAACTGCATAATATTTGAAGTACTAAGGTCTGTTCTAGACACATACAATTAGCATACGTTTTTCTTGTTTATGATATTATATTCTTTGTTAGAAGTTTGGAAGTATATTTTGACGTGGTAGCGTTTTAGATACATAAATTGATCATGGACAAATATTCAGATCCATTACATATATTTATATACAAATATTTGTTTCGTGTGGAGTCTGAAGCTACTACTACTATCGAGAATATTATTATTACGTTGTAGCGTTTAACGATGAAGATAATTTTAACCCAATACCTAAAAAATTAGCCATGAGGCTATAACCTTATTGGAAACGTCCATACAGAGAACTAAATTTCACTAATAGATTGTATCCCACCAAAAACATAAATGTAGATAGGGAGTCAAGTCGAGTATAAACGAATTTAGTAAACACTACTTTTACATTCAACTTTTTAGTTGTTCTATTTTACTTTAAAATCACTTGGACTAACCGCCATCATTGAAAATTCTTTGCCCCTTGCCGAACATTCGAGGTCTGAATCAAAATTTTCAAGCATTTAAAAATTTTAAATTCTGCAGGCACTATCACAGCATGGAAGTGTTTGCAACTTTTGACATTTTGCATGCAGCTGGAAACAGAATAGCTGAAGGGCACAAAGCTTCATTTTGCTTAGAGGATAACACATGCTTACCAGGTGTTGAACAAAAATATTCCTGCAAAAATTATGGAGACCAAGGTTAGACATTTTTAATATTTTTAAATATACATAATAATAAGATTTCAAAGGAAGAACTCCGGTACTTCACAGTTTATTTGCGAGGTTTTGTACTACAATCCCATAATAACAGTTATGGCAATTGTACTTGTAAATTCTACCATCTATACTGCAAGAAAATTGAATAATAGTTTTTTGATGATCCATTTCTGTAGCGCTATATTCAAACGATAGAGCTAGGTAATCGAAAGAGAGTCGTTTCATCCCCCTCATCATGCCCTATTTCTTGATTTAAAAATGGAAACTATGAGAAGGATTGTGAATTTCTGTATGTTTTTGTTTTGTTTTTATTTTTGTTAAATTTTTTTGCTGCATATCTCAAAACAACGGTATAACTTGGAAGTTCAGTAAAATCCATTGACGTCTAAAACTAACCTTAATCTAAGAAAGTTTACCAAGTACCACTTCTCATTTGTCATGTACTTACTCGACCAACTCCCCTTCTGTTCTTATTTAACATATCGTTTTACTTTCTTCTCTTACAAAAACCATAACTTTCATCTTACGTGCTGTGTTCACTTTCATACCCCTTTCTTTTAATTACCTGTTTAATAATGTAACCATTATTTGCAACTCGGCCGCCAACGACGTAAATATCACTTGATCATCGGCGTACAAAACGCATTCGATGGGTAACTCCCCAATTCTTAATCCATATGCTTTAACTTTCAAATTTTCCAAAAAACTGTCCATAAATAGGTTGAACAGCCACACAGTCCTATCTGACCTTTATGGATGCCAAACCAATCCGTGTAGGCCCCGTTGATCCTAACACAAGCACTAGAGTCCCTATAAAGAGACTTTATTGCCTGTATCAACCCAACGCTTTAACCAAATGAGTTCAGTGTTTGCCATAACACATCCTGTACCACCCTGTACCCTGTCATAATCATTTTCCAAATCCATGAACACACAAAAAACTTTATGGTTTTGACCAAAAACTTTTCCGTGATTATGCGCATGCAAAAGACTTGATCTGTACACCCCATTTCCTTTCTAAATCACGCATGCCCATCCCATATTTTTCCAACAGTTTCTTTCATAACTCCTTCAGTTAGTATCTTAGCATACAGTTTTCCCACAATGCTAAGAAGGCTGATACCACGGTAGTTTTTACAGTCTTGCTACAATCCTTTTCCTTTATAGGGACTATCACAGCTTTGCACCAGCATTTCGGTACTCGCTTCCTTTCTCAGTATAAATTAAACAAGGTATAAAGAAGGTCTGCCACCACTTCCTCTCCAGCATTTAGCATTTTGAGTGAAACTCTTTGATATTCAGCTGCCTTACCTGCTTTCATGCCTTTTATTGCTTTCAATATTTCATTTATAATTATTTCCATATCACACTCATAAACGCTTGCATAATATTCCTTCCGTCTCTTTAAACTCAAAACCTCATCATTCAGAATACATACACTCGTCTCGTATAGCATTCAATCCAGACTGTTTTGAATACTAGATACTTCGGTAGCTGTCCACCAAACCTTTCTTAACATTATCCCACATATACTCCAAATCTAATCTCATACACAACTTATCCAAACCACTTATATTTTCTTTCAGTCTATATTTGTACTTGTTTTTTCACATCTTCATCTTGTAACCTCTCTGTTCTAATACGCTGTAACGCGATGGTAGACACAAATGTCCGATGCCACCAACATCTGAATAGACCAATAATTCGGCATAAGACCAAGTAATGATCCGTCCCTACTTGGGGACCCCGGTAAACCTACAAGGGTTTACCGGGGTCCCACTGCGCTGCGCAAGGGTGTACCACTGCGCTCCTTATTCTTTCATCTACAATTATGAAATCTATCATGCTTTTACCATCACTTCTTTCCCAAATATACATGTGGATCTTCTTACAACGAAAAAAAGTGTTCGTCACATAAAAGATTCCTTTCCACACATACGGTAAGGAGGCTTTCACCATTCTCATTAATACTTTCATTACCAAACGTTCCCAGTATCTTTTCATAGCCAAGCCTCCTCACCCCAACCCTTCCATTAAAATCTCCTAACATAACAATATTTTCATTTTCCTTACATTTTATTAACACCATCCTTTTCATCTCCCAAAACTGCTCTCAGATATAAGTGGACTTAAACATGTCTGAGGCGTAGACCCCTAGAACAAACAACTTCTTTTAGCGCGCTTTCAAACTCTTTCACACATTGACCCATTTTTTCTGAAAGCACTGATTGACTCCCTGGCATGCCCCCTCGATCTTCACTACACCCAACTAGTACGCGATATACATGTATATGTGTGTGTAGTGACATCGTTGCCTTTCCGTTTCGTCTCATTTACACATAACACATCTATTCCTTTATCTTACATCATATCGCATACTTCATCCATCTTATCATTCATTGCTTCACATACATTCAGCGTCAGACGGGCTTCAGCAATCCACTTTTTATGCCTCCGAGAGACAGAACGTGACGATTGGCGAACCTTGTCGCTAATTTTCCTTTCAATTCTTTGCACCCCTGCCCCATTAAAGGGGTGCCGGGTACGAAACTATGGGGTGGTATATTTTACGCCGCTATCACACTACGAGGAACCGAATCTGTACTTTCGGCTTGTCGCTCGTTTAGCACCACCTAGGGAACAAGTGTAGGCTGGGCCTAGGATTAGCTGGTCAAAGCCTACACACGCGAGTGACTTATCTCACCAAGCGACTTATCCTCCTTTATCAAATATACTATTACTAATTAACTTGTTTATTTTCCAGGCGTATCAATCAATTGTTCAGACATTTATCATTACAATATTGATTGTCAATGGGTTGACGTCACAGATGTTGTACCAGGATATTATACGTTTAAGGTAAGGTAATATTTCGACGACGAAGTGGCAATTACACCTATCTCAATTTTTGCGAATTTTTTTTATTCCATAGTTATACTTAAAATTACCTAATTCAGGTCCTCATGAAGGTCAGGTCTTTAGAGTCAGAATTGAGCAAGATATTGAGGTGTGGCAATACCTTCTTAGTTATTCTAAAAAAAAATTGCTGGCAATTTATCCTATCTAAGCTGTGGCACGTCCGTTTCATGGTGATCTAGTAGCCGACTGAATGACGGTTAATTTTCGCGCGACTCATCGAGCAGGTTGAAGTTAGTTGTGCATGGGATGAAAATCTATCTAGAATCTAGAATCAATTAGATTTAATAGGGGCTGATATTGAACCTTATCTTAAGTCTAACTCACCTAGTCCAAGTGTTCTTGAATACGTATACTGATTTAGGTAGTTTCTCGCAAATAAATCGCTATGTTGAACTAACTAATGCTTGCCTTCATCCACAATCACTAGCTCATATATCGCTAGCTAGTCAAATGTCCTGCTGTTTCTAAGTAAAAAGTACAATAATATCACTATAACTCAAAAGTTTCTAGAACCAGGACATACGCAAATGGAGTGCGTCTCTGTCCATGCGGCAATCGAACGAAAACTCAAAAATCGAGAAAATTCACTTACCAAGCGATTACAGTACAATTACAAAGGAAGCACGCAGGATAAATCCTTATGAAGTTATACAAGTTGACTACAAGTTTGTAAAAAACTACGCTGATACTGAAATATGGTATTACAAAAGTATAAGACCTGGGCGTAGGGTTGGCGATCCACAAGTAGTAGACATAAGAGCCATAAAATACATGACAGAGGAAGTAAAGCTCAACTTTGATGAAGATTGGACTTCTCTTCCACAGAGACCCATGATTATAAGTTCCGAAATGTATTCATCGTCAAATGTATTCGAATAGAATTCCAATAAAAGCTACAAAATTCATCATCTTCAGCAATTAAAGGCAGTACTTCCTAACGATTGTCATGCCTTTTACGACTCTTTGCCATTCGAATATGCAGTGTTTTATTATAATTGCACTATTTTATGCCATGTTGTAGTATGTGGCTGTAACAATTATGTTCCTTATGTTTTGTTTCTTTAATTACAAGTAATCTTTTTAAAAGGTTTATGATTGTTATAAATGCAAAAAAAAATTATTTACAAATGTTACGAGGTATAACTAATATTAATTTATATTTTAGTAGGTACCTAGTTAAGTTCTTAAATATTTGTCATATTTTACTAATTTTGTAGACATTTGGGTATTAGTTCTATAAGCGAATACTTCTACTTGTGTTTTAGTTAGGTAGGTAATCAGAAGAATGTAAGTATATTCAATAGCAAGTCATATCTACTGACACGAATATATTTCTTGCAAATTGAGTTGATATTTCATCATGATAAGGTCCAGTTAATCGTTGATTTATTATTTATAGTTCTCAGATTTCAAGTTATCTTTTTGTTATGTGTGTACTTTTTTTTAAAAATTGGTGCCTACTTGTATTTTAGATTATTGTAACAACACTGTAATTTTTTAAACATACAATGTTTGTGATATCGTCCAGTCTAAATACTAAGCTTATTCCACCAATGTTTCACTAAAAGTGATTAATAAATAGTGATTATATATATTCAATCAAAATACAGTTTTTTTTTTCGTTGCAATACCTGCTATCTCAAGAAAAGAAAAAAGAATTAAAAAAAAATTGTAACAATTCCTCCTATGTAGTAATATTTCAGAAACCTGTAATATTTCACTATATTTAACAATACAGTCTTATTTCTTATCTTCCTGTTACAAAATTAAAACTTTACAATGTTCCAAAAGTATACGTAAAATTAAGTGAAACGTTTTTTTTTCGTCTCCTGTAAAGTAGTGTTTTTTGAGTTAGGAGTAATTGCCACTTCGTCGTCGATTTGAATCATTAAAAAGAATGTAATAATCTGGACACACGGCAGAGCCAGCCATTTTTAGAAAGGAAAAGCACAACTTTTTCGTTTCTTTTCTTCTTTTTGATGAATAAGCCTGAAAAAGTTTTTGAGTTACTAAGGACTTAAAAGTATTTACCATTTATACAAACCACAAACTCAATCGTCAAAAAATATGAAACACTTTTTATAGATTAATTAGAAACTGGAATTTCGCCGTGACGAACGTGGATGTAAGGCACAAGAGAAAATAACTAAAAACTAAAAGACAGTGTGGACAAAGTTATTGAAGCGGGTAGTTTTAAGTACAGTACTGTACTTGAAACTAACCTCACCAATAATTTTGTTAACATTTAATTCTCTTAATTAAATATTGATTAATACGACGACGTAACGTCTTCGTAAGACATGCAAATAATTGATGGATGCAGGTGGCTCAGGACCGTGCTTTGTGCCATTCCTTGGGGGAGGCCTATGTTCAGCAGTGGACTTGTGAAGGACTTTAATGTATGGATCTATGATATTAAAAGGAAACAGTGAAACGAGAATATAAAAAAAATCTTATGGGTCATGTATTTATTTAGATTAACCTAAGGATTAAATTATGTTTTTTTTTAAACAAGTAATATTCAACCAAAAACAAAATGTGAAAGTTGTTCACTTTCATTACTTTAAAGTCCCAAAGATCGATTCGGACAAAATAATCATTAACTTTCATCATTAGGACAATACTTTATCTAAATATCTATAAATAGAATCGTTACTAAAGTAAAAGAAAATAGAACAAATTAATGCAGTGAACCGAAAAATGTTTGCAGCATAATATGCTTCACTCCGGAGGCTCAACTACTTTTTACCCATTTCCACCAAAATGACGCTTGCACAATCTTTATTATTCCCTATCTTCAACTATGCTACTTTGATATCACTAAGGAGCAACTTAACAAACCTGAGCGACTCCAAAATCTCTGTAAACGGTTCATATTTGGGCTTCGTAAATGTGACCATACCTCGGAATACCGCACTAATCTCAAGTGACTCCCAATCCATATTAGTCAAAAGACTCCTATGCTTTCTGCGCTGTACTGCGTCTTATTTAATATATCAAGTCCTCCATGTCTAAAAGAACGTTTTCAATTTCTTAGCTCTTGTCACGATTTTTCCTTAGAGTCCAAAGAAAATCTTTCCCTCCAATATCCTGTGCTTTCATCAACATTTTATGATAGATCTTTTGCTGTTCTTGGAGTAAGACTGGAGTTCCTCACACCAGTTAATTAAAAGTGCTCATTAGTTAAATTTTTTCAAGAAACAGGTTAAGGAAAACTATTTGTCTCTTTAACTCCTCTCTCTTCCTCCTTCTTTATGGTCATTGATTTACCTAAAGCATGTTGTCATTTTAGTAGATAAGCTTGTATTATTTTATTTACATTTTTCTAATTTAGTGCACCTTACCCGTTAATATTTATCTTATTTTTATTAATTCCTTCTTCTGGGTCCTGAAAGTGATTGCTACGTAGCAATAAGACCGCCTTTTGTTTTTCCCTCACTATTTATTCATTTTTTGTTATATATTTTAACTTCCCAGTGACAAGGTATTGTAATGGCTCCGACTTTGCAAATTGGAAATTTTAACGTATCTCCACGTTTCAAGGTCTATAAAGTCGTATAGTATGGTTTTTAAGAGGATATCCGTGTGTACACATGTACGAATGTATGTATGTATGTATGTTTGGATTTTATTTTCGCTTCGTGTATCTCGAGAACAATGACACTGACATGGGACCAGTTTCATTTAACGCATAATTATGTAACTTAGACCTAATTAAATTTTGAGCATACGGTCAAGTCGTTTTTATGCCGAATGAAAAATTGTATAAAATATTAAAACATATGATAGTTTTTTATTCTATTCACTGAGAAGTTAATCATGTTGACTTTTCGGGTCGCACCTAGACCGCTTTGTTATCTTTTATTGTTGTACAATAAAGGATATTGTAATATATTGTCTAGAATGCTAAAATGTTAATGATTGCTAATATTTGTTTTAATAACTGCAGGTAGCGGTCAATCCCCACGCAAGAGTTGCAGAACAGCAGTATCATAACAATGTCGCATCTTGTATGTTAACGCTTAGTGATACTTACGCTGCAGTCCATGGTTGCAAACTTGAGAGACCGTAGAACAAATCACTAATGAATAAGATAATTTAAAAAATATACATTAATTGTTACATTACTAAATAATAAATACAACATTAATTGTTACGTATGAAATAAATCGTATTGTTATTAAACACACATTTCTATTATTTTCTTATTTTACATTTCTTAATTTTAACGTGTTGTGGCGATATAAGCACAAACGTTTACTTACCCATGGGTGTCATGTGAGACGACTACGGAAAATACTTTAACATTCATTACGGGGGCGGGACCATGCTCTAACAGAATACTAGCGTAAAATAGCAGTTTAATACTGCTGTGTTTTGTATGGTGAGTGTAGAGAACAGGACACCCTTTTTACTGAAAACGAGGCATGTGACGATGACGATGTCGATGACAATTATGATTATGATTACAATAACAGTGACATTTGATATTGAACGATGACGATTATGATTTCATGGAAGTATTGGGAGTTGGCGGTAAATTTTGTGTTTATTGTAAGAAGGCCTTCAAGAGTATCGTCATTACAACGAGCGAGGAGGTTCAGAGGTAACAGCAAGTTTATTATTATAAACGAAGGAAAATTACATAGAAATAAAAGAGTCTCGTTAAGATTTTTTTATTCTTAAAATTATTATCACATCTATAATGAAGAATTTGAGCACACCACGTTTATTAGATTTGTACAAATGGTATGTTATACCAAAACCACTTAAAAATCACATATCATAAAATTACTCAAGTATAAACCTGTTTATAAAAAAAAATCATTGTACCTTTTATTGTACCGTTGTAACTAAGTTTCGCTAACACCAGTGTCGACATTTACATCTCTATTTCAAAGGTCGTGTCGTATTTATGGTTGTGAAGAGTGAAAATTAATATCGACGTAAAATGAGTACAGGTAGGATAGAAATGTCAAACTTAGAATAGCACACTAATTTCAAATCTATACATTTTTATTGTCATTAGTTTCATGATATGAACGCATTTTCTTGTTTTCTTTTAAACAAAATATATTGGGGTTGAGTCACGAAGTTTTCAACTTGACAATTAGAAAGTGTAAAGTAGTGAGCTCAAGCGAATTCTTAGAATACGCTGACACAGTCTCTGATTGAATTTAGTCTGAATTTTAAAGTAATCTTGACGTATGATTATTTTAACTTTTAATAAAAGGGAACTACTTAATTACTTACATATAAGATTCATAAATAACGAACATTAGCGTAAAGGTAATATTCATTATTTATAGCTGTAATACATGTGAGGATCAAGTTGACTTTTAATAATCAGTAACGCTAAAAGAAAACTGCGAAAATGAATGAAATTAATTATAAGTCTTAAAGTTAAAATATGTCATCCCCATTCTATAAAATATAGCTATATCCGTAAACGTTTTATTCAGAAATGAAATACTTAGAACAATAAACCCTTGTAAAAAATGTATCAGTCAACGATTTTTTTTATCAAACACTATCACACGGATTTACTCCAAACATCATTCCTGTACCCATTATAGCAAAACCTACCCAAAAATAACAGTGACGATAAAATCCTGCTGCCCAGATTTAGTAACTTTTCAACGCATAAAAATTTAAGAACTGAACTGAAGAAACTCTAAAAGTGTTTTTAAATATTAAACCAAAACCATGTAACAAACGATTTTCTTCGCATATATCGCAATAAATCCCTGATTCATGTAGACAGAGCTATCTCCATCTACGATGATCCAAGTGTACAAATCGCCATTCCATATTTATGTATTCATATCATAGGAAAAGTAAATCTGTGTCATAAATTTAACGCTTTTTTATTCAATTAACGTGAGGGATATTTTTAAGTATCTATATAATAAAATTATATTACTTTCAATAAGATGTAATAGTAACATGCTTATAATTAACTTGTTTAAGTTCTAAATCTTCGAAAATCAGATTCTTTGAAGAATCTTCAATTTACCTACTACTAAGAAATTGGTTTGGTAGGTATTTCACTTTAAACAAAATTATTAAATAAGGAATGTGTCCATATCACATAATGCAATCACTATATCACAGTGATATTATGATGACAGTTTTCCATATTATATTCACCCTTACATTTATCGACTTAAGTTTTCTAAAAACTAAATTTTCATTACATTAGAATCATCCTTTCTTAAATTTGATGAGCAAAATGCTAACTGTAAGATAAACGACGATCCAAATTGCAGTCGAAATGAAACCGGAGTAAACTGTAGGTACAGTGACCGTCCAACCGCGCTGCAGCATCGAACGGAGGGATTCCGTTGATTTAGTGAGTGGAAGCACGTAACTGATCCATTGAAGGACTTGATGCATGCCTGCGAATATAATTAATAATTTTTTTAAAGAAAATCTATTAACAATACGTATGTATAAACATTACTAATATTCCCCTTAACCACTCGTGGTAAGCTTAAATTGCTTGTGTTACGAGTTTACGCCAGTAGTGGAATGGCGGATTCGAACCCCCGACATTTTTGAGTTCTCGGTCCGCGTCCTGTTAGGCTACTGTTGCTTTTTTAATATGATGAATCCATTTATTCGCTACTTACAATAGTAATCTTAGTTAAGCAAGATAAGTATTAGAAAAGTACTAATCTGGTGCATACTTAGCTTGTGAGAGACTAGTGCGTGATTAAGTATAACATAACATAAATAATTTTTGTTTTAAAACAATACTGAAAATCCATAATTTTAATAACGGTTATCTAATTTCTTTATCTAAGAAAAATAATTACTATGCAAGGCAAATTTTGACTATCGTTATTTTAGTACACCTTTGGTGTAGCTAAAAATTTAATAATAGTTTTCTTGCTAATCTAACATTAATGAAGTCGATATAACTAGATCAAAATTGTTCAACGAATTTAAAAATAATCAAATAAGATAAATATTATTAAACATTAAAAAAAATTAATTCTCACCTTCAACTGGCCATATAATTCCACAGAGCAACATCATTGGCAAGAATGAGCCTAATGCTAAATAAGTCGCCGTCCTTTCAGTGTCGCAAAGGCACGAAACCACGAAACCTAAAATTATCACATCAATTTAAGACTCTCAAGTTATTAGCAATCAATCAATAGCTAAAATACTGTTACGAGCTTGAGGTTCGTGACAATAAAAATTGCCGATAAAATTACCTAAATTAACACTTTAATTTACTTTACACAAATTAAAACTAAAAACACTAATAATTAAACACACTAATTCACTTAATTCCGCTCCGAAGCTTCGCTTGTGTCGCCGAGTTCAACTCTCCCCGATCGCATCTTGCAGCGCCTATTTATATAATTAGCAAAGAAGCGTCCCGAACATTCAAGTAAATGCGCGCCAGGCAACGAGTATTCGAGGGTAGATTTTCCAGAAACTTAGTTCTTCGGGTGGCGCTGTCGGTCGAGTGATTTGTGATGTCATTTTCTCAATGCTCCCCTCGCTCTCGTTCCTGACACTAGATGGCGCTAGTGTATCGTCGACTTGAGCGCGTAACAATACACTTTTGACGGCTCCGTGGCGCAGTGGCTTAGCAATAAGTTACACCGCTAAGGACCGCGGGTTCGAATCCCGCACGGAACAAGTATTTGTATGGCCTACAAGTAATTGTTCCGTGTCTGGATGTTTGCCCTTGAGAAATTTATGTTTGTAAAATCCTAGTGAGGAGGTAACGTTTAAAAAAATATAAAATATTTATTATATACGGAATTCAGTGTAGTGACGGTGTGATAATATGCACTACCCCATATCTTCCCGTGGGTATCGTAAGAGGCATCAGGGAGAAACATACAAGGCGACGGGTATCAGCGTTTTCCAAATAATAACTAAAAATTAAAAAATTAAAATTTTATACTGCAGCTATATTACTGGTATAGTTGTAGCACGAATGGGTTGGCTCCACCCGGGAAGGACCACATTCTCACAGAATACCAGCGTAAAATAGAGTGTAGAAGTAGAATAGAGTGAGTGTAGAAAACCGGAGACCCTTTTTACTTGAAACGAGGCAATCCATCTTAGTCCTCACGGGTCAATCACGGATTCATAATCGAGGATAGATGTAGACGTCTATGGGCCACAGCATCCACTTACCATCAGGTGGACTGTGTGCTCGTTTGTCACCCTATCCTGTAAATAAAAAGCGCGGTTATTGACCCGCCTTGCAAGCTTTGCAACTATGTTAAATGTCCCCACTATGAAGAAATCTATGAGAAAGGCATTGAATGTCAAATTTCATAAATTACATTTTACTTCGCATAATTTCAGGGGACTTTTTTGTGTAGCAGTAAAACAGCCAGTAAAACCTGAGGTTAATGATAAGTAAAGTAAAGTAAAGTAAAGTTACAGCCCATATTCGTCCCACTGCTGGGCACAGGCCTCCCCTCATTTCTGAGAGGGTTTTAAGGCAAGAAAATATCCGCCGCGCTGCCCCAATACGTGTTGGCGAACTTCACGTCTTCGAATTTTTTTTTCTTATTTCTCGGACATGCAGGTTTCCTCACGATGTTTTCCGCCAAGCACGTGGTAAATCAGCACTTAAAATTGCAATTAATGCAATTGAACAATTTCATTGATGCCGGCGGGGATCGAACCCGGTTTGCTCGCGTACTGTGAAATTTACAGCAAGCGCTAACCATCTGAGCTACCACTCTCTCTCGCTAATGATAAAGGTTTATTGATTATTGAATAAAACAATATATACGATTATATCGCTTTTAATTAACTTATTTTTAACATTTAAATATTTAGAATATATAGCTGACGTGATGCACCGACGCACTGGAAAGTCTGCAGTCTGTAAACATGTTCAAGATTGTCCCCACCAATATATCAGATTTGATAAACCACAAATCTTCGCAAAATAACATCGATCCTTACCAAAGATGATACGCGAGGCCATTGAAATTTAAAAAGACATGCTAATTTCAATAGAGAAGATGGATGGGTGCTGCGATTTGCTTGGGATCCTATAATTAACAAAATTAAATTCAAACCCAAGCATATTACTACAAGACTTCAAGATATTGTAAGCTCGTTGTGCGTAGATTGGACCAAAAATTAATATTCAAAAACTGAAGGTAGCCGGGCTAACTATGACATCGGGACGTCAAACTTCTCAGTCCCCGCCGTGACCATAGATAAGCTAATATACTCGGGAGCCCGTGACCATGGGCACCGGAAACGTCGGGAATTAAAAATAAGTTAATTAAACACGATAAAATCTGTATATAGTTTCATGCAATGTGTAGTGTTCGCGTAAATTTAAGAAATAATTTATTGATTATTTCTTAAATAGCCTATTTATAACTACTATAACTTACCTTTACGCTATTATTAGAGATAAAAGCCTGACATAACAGGTAACGAAATATATCCTTGAAACACAAGTCATCATAAAGATTTTGTATAATAAAAATCAAGAGCTAAGATAACTTACCAAATGTCATTCCACATAATCCGATAATGAGAGTGAGCACACTAACCCAGCCCACTGGACCGTTGATGGTAAGACCGAAAACGGCGAAACCAAGCACAAGTACCATAACAGTCTGGATTATCATCACTATCATCTGTACCAACACGTGAGAGAACAGAATTTCGGTTCCTGAAATTAAAAAAAATTAAAACAACGTTACGTCAATAAACTGAATTTAGAACATCAATTTTATATACATGATGAAATAGTCATTGGCGTACATTGAAGACATTATTCTACTCATATTAGCAATGTATTAAAGTAAATTAAATTAATACTGAAAGAGAAAACAAAAATAACAAAAGAAGTGAATAACTTCAATTAAAAAATTTGAAAACTCTTTTAACAAAAAGAGGATGAACAGATTTTATTGAAACATTAGACGAATAACTACGGAAACTACGGACACTCCCGATTAAGACACCTTTCAAACGAAAAAAATAACTTTATCAAAATCAGTTCTTCCGTTTAGAAGTTGTGACGTCACAGACACACATACACAGATGTATGTGTGTCTGTGACGTCACAGCTTCTGACATATCACACACTACAAACTTAACCACTCGAATGTCGGGGTCATTTTGGCCAATATGGCGCATCTGACGAGCACTCTCCGAAGTACTAAGTATAAGTATACTAGGTGTATATATATATATATTTTATATATATATTTTCAAAGTAAGTATATTAAAATCATATATCAATGGAAACGTTATAAAATAAGCTATCAGATTGCTGTTTTTTTGTGTATATATTTATGTTATATATATCATATATATGTTACAAATAGTTTGCTATCATCTGTCGACGCCATATTATGGCGTTTGACAGACGTGTATATTATTTGAGACGCCAGAATATGGCGTTTGGACAGACGAGGGGATATGACACTACTTTGCTTATTTTTAGCCACAGTCGAAAACCCCTCTGTTTTGCAAAGTACTAAAGACGTCACGACGTACAAGTGTTGTCTGTATGAGTAAGTATATTATTTATTTTGTTTTGGACTAATAAGATTCTTAAAGTATTCTTCGCTGGCAAAATTAAAGCTTTATATTTGCGTTAGAGGCCTTTTAAACTGTATTTATTATCTGTTTTATACAGTAAAGTTAAAGCAATAATTAAAATGCACCGTCTCAGCGATGCGTAACAAGGGGCAAGTTGTGCAAATATACGTACGTGTTTTGTGCGTGTTAGAGACAAGCTGCAGATTTATGGTCGCAGTACGAATGAATCGGCTCCAATGTGGTATGACCACGCTCTCTCTTAATAGCATCGTGAAGTATCTGTTTAATGCTAGAGTTTAAACCGGAAAACCTTTTTACTGTAAACGTGACATTTCATTCTAGATCTTACGAGTAACAACACATCTGCTTTACCTACCATCAGGTAAGTTATGCGCTTGCGTGTCACATTTATGCTATAAAACGTGTAAACAGCACACAAGTAAACCGATTTGTAGATACCCCGTTCAAAATTGAATGAAAATTTGCGTCCTCCAATACTTTAATTACTTGAAGCAATTCATCGAAATTAATATATCCGTTCAAAAACATATGTAGTATAAACAAATATATATTGCACTAATAATTACTAGTCAAAACTTGTGTGCAACAATATCATTTTATTTGAATGGTATTATTGTGCTCGACGCAAGAAACTTGGACAGTGGAACTGGAAGATTATTTTAGTATCAACGTAGTTTGTAAGATGAGGATATTCTTTGTTTAAAAGGATGCCAATAATTTCAATTATACTCTGTAGATAAATTAGATAGTATTAAAGTATTTATTTCTCAGCTTTTAACATAAATTGTATTCATAATAAAATAACATAAATATGATACTAGGTAAAAAGAAATTCTACATAAAATTTTTAAAAAATATAGCATTGGGTGACAAACGAGCACACAGTCTACCTGATGGTAAGTATATGCCGTGGCCCATACACATCCACATTTATTCTCAATTAAGAATCGAAATACAAATGTGTTGTCACCCCTGTGGACTAAGATGGAATGCCTCGTTTCTAGTAAAAAGGTTCTCCGGTGCTCTACACTCACCATATGAAACATATCAGCATTAGGCTGCTATTTTACGTTGGTATTCTGTGAGAGCGTGGTTTTTATATATGTAATATTCTTTTAAGGAGAAGGGTGACAAATGAGCAGACAGTTCACCAGATGGTAACTGTGGCTCATAGAAATCTACATTCATCCTCTATTACGAATCAAAACGCAAATGCGTTGTCACCCGTGAAGATTAATATGAAATACCTCCTTTCCAGTAAAAAGGGTTCAGGTCCTGTCCAGGTCGAGCCGACCTATTCGAGCTACAACTATAATATAGCTGCAGCGTGACTCTACCAGGTAAATTTTATTTATTTTAATGATGATATGCTAAAAAATATATTATTCCTTTTGATTACTTTTTTTAAAATTTATAAATTTCGGGTTTTAGTTTGATACAGATATCGTTTCTTAAAGACACATAAAATGAAGGTTATTCTAAAATATCTTGTTTTTCTCCGTCAGCCGGTAAAAGCCTTGGCTTTATTTAGAATTAGATTTATAAGACTTACGTTCAAAGTTAAACGTAGCCAGAGTTCTTGGTACTGTACCGTGGGAAGTAGAAATGTATATTAATTTAAGTTTTTAGTTTTTGTTTTTTTTAAATACAAAAGTATATTTTAAATTTCATTTTAAATGTAGATATCTTTTTTAGATAAAACACACTGAATTTCCAGCACTTCACTTACCAGTAATTCCAGATACGAGTGATCTTTCCAAAATTCCTTCATTTCGTTCAGCCAACATTGAACCAGAAGTTAAAGCGACTGCCAAAAAGAAGATAATCCTATAGGAGAAAATTCAAGCATTATTACTTATTCGATGAACAGTCAGTATTTATATAAATTTGGTTATATATTCATTTAATAAAGACGGCAGTGTTTTTATGTATACATTATACCATTATTATCGCGAAGCCTGTGTGCTAATGACATAGAAAACCTATCATCCTATTTCATCTCGTGATTTCATAAGAAGTAACTATAAGAAGGAGAATGTAAGAAACATCTTATGACCTCCGATTGTACAAATGATGGTGCAAAAATATCATCTTTGACAGACGTAAAATTTCCGAGCCGCCGATCGATAAGAATAGAGAATTAAAAAGGAAAGAAAAATGTATTTTGGCCTTATACGAATAAAAATTAAGGTAAAATCTCTACATTTATAAGGTACTTGGCATTAAAATTAAGGAAACATAATAAAAAAAACCATACTTACGTAAGGATAACTCCTGGTCCAGCGAAATCTGTGAAATCAGGATCCTCGAGACCGTAGATTGGTGCATGAAACTGCATTCAAAAACTATTCTTAGAACGTTATTTCTACTAAATTTATTTAAAAACTTGAATAATGGAAACTTTTTTATGTAATAACTCTCAAAATCATTAAGTTGCTTACGCAAATGCTTTGGCGTACTTCTCTGAAAACCTAATTTTTTTAATAGCTGGCAGGATTACTCTTATGTCCAGGATTTCCATCCGAGTAGATACGACCCTCTTATTACTTCTGTCGCCAAATATCAGTACCTATATGGTATTTTACTTGGTAGAATCACGCTGCAGCTATATTATGGTTTGAATACGAATGGGTCATCTCTACCGGGGTAGGACCACGCCCTCACAGAATACCAGCGTAAAATAGCAGCTTAATGTGACTGTGTTTCGTATAGTGAGTGTAGAAAACCAGTGACCATTTTTACTAGAATCGAGGCATTCCATCTCAGCCCTAAGGGGTGACAACGCACCTGCATTTTGATCCTTATTTGAAGATAAATGTCAACGGGCCACAGCATCCACTTAACATCGGGTGTACTGTGTGCTCGTCTGTCACCTTTATTCTATACAAAAAAAAATACACACTGATGATTATAAAGAACCATTTTAATTAAGGGTCATGAGGCATTCTATCTTATTTCTCAAAGGTGACAACGCATCTCTATGGATCTTTCTTTTTTTGTAATTGAATGCACCATCGAGTGGACTGTAAGTTTGTTTATTACATAAATTTTACTTAAAAAATATTTTTCCGAATAAAGACTTAATATAATCTACCATTCTATTTTGATCAAACTTTTATTTAGATTTAAAAGCACAATGCTATTTTGCAGAAACATAATAATCAGTAAAGGGTAGATATTCAAGATTGCTTGATATCCTCCATCCATCCTTCATCCTTCACAAGTCCCTTACTAAACATACACTAATACTCGACTCGAACTCTCTCACCTCTAACCTCTAACTCTATAATCTAGAATAACTAATCTAACTCCCGAAATCTGTAGCAAGGACATCACGCAAAAGAACGAGAGTAACTGTTGTGGCCCCGCAGATCAATAAGATATAGTGGAATACGCTGGTACATAACGCGCAGCTGATAGGAAGAATAAGATTTCTAGTGGCAGTATAAGTGTCAAAGTTGTGTGATATTTGGTTTACCAAGTCGAAACAAGCATGGAGTATAATCGCAATTTTATTATATGAAGGAGGAAAAATAGTAGACGATTACGAGTTTGAATGCCCTGCATAGAAAGAATGCTGACTGAATTACCAGGTCAAGCCAAAACCATTTATTTGGTTCTTCTGTCAATAATTTCTCAGTAGCAAGCAGTACGTAGTGGAGGAGTTGACATTTAGTCCCGTGACTCAGAAAACCACGTAAAGGCGTTGGCCCTGCACCTGATCTTTATCTTCGCCATCCCAACGGACTATGAGAGTGAGAGAATAGAGAATGCATTTGTACTTTCACTCACACTCGTGCAAAATGTTGCGCTTTCGCTTAAAATTCGTTGAGATTGGCCGCCATGACCAAATTTCATAAAAAAAATAAGTAGGCTGATTGGAATAACAATGAAAAAATAATACTCACGTATACAGGCAATGCCATGATCCTTTTTGGCAAGTTACAAACTTTCGCAAGATGTTCCGTTGCATCTACGAAAGCAGCTTGAAGTTCTCGCGCCAACATCCATTCCACTTGTTTATCTAAATAACAAATTCTTCTGTTATTTTAGAAAAAGTCAATAAACTTCACTTAAACCGATTTTGAAAATATTAAAAGTTAGTACCCGGATGACCGAGCTTTGCTCGGTTTTTTTTTAAATTATATTTATAAAAAAATACAAATCACATACTGATGAATAATATTTTTGATCTTATTGACAAAATAGAAAAAACTGAACTGGTTATTTCAATAAAAAATCATGAGTGCAATTAGTTTAGTTAAAATTTTCGTATTTTTAAAAAAATACTAAAAAAGGGCGCGAAATAATAGATTTTCTCACAAAAGAAGGGAACTTGAAAAAAAAAGGAAAAAAAATCGAAACGATGACTGGACGAGATCAAAGGCATTACGATTTCGCAACCGCTCGACATCCACTTGAGCTATTACGATCATTAACACAGTGTCAAAATTTACCTTCTTATATTGTAGCAGTTTTTCATTGCCTGAAAACGGACAAAATGAATTTTCTAATCTAGCTAGATCGATTTATTGCCCCCGAAACTCCCTGGACACTAAATTTTATGAAAATCGTTGGAGAGCCGTTTCAGATTTACAAGAATTGCTCGTTTGAAGGTATAGGATATTTGGAAAATCTAAAAGTGCACACCTCGAACGCTCATGTAATGTTTTGAATAATCAATTTACTTTTATTAATTTCCAAAACACTCATTTTGTTAAAGCTACAAAAAATTGTTTCTGTTTAATTAACACCAATGCTTTTTTGACTGCTTGATACCGGTGATACGTATTATGTTACCGGAAAAAATTGTTATATATTAATGAACATGACGATTTACAATAGTGAAATTCAAAAGGCTTCTCAAGGATTAAAATCTAAAGCCAATAAAAAGTCAAAGTGATAAGTTCATTTTTTCGAAAGATATCTTGTTTACATCCATACCGACCAAATGACGACCAAGTGAAATTTACTTTTTTTATAACAATATTAAAAAATATAATCTTATAACTACATCAGAAGTATTAATTGAAATCTTCTCTTGCTATTGGTGTACTTTTTTATTATATACGTGCAATATAAAGCAGGGGGAAGTGATTGAATTTGAATGGATCGCGAATTTTTGATTTGGTGACCACTAGAGCACTACATATCTGCTTCGCGATCGAGTGTGAAATACATATTGAATAATATACCTTTTCATTTTCGTGATTTGGTTAAGTACTTGTACCAGTTTCACAACATTTATTTTAAATTATTGTTATATTACTGATAATAACAAACAGTTTCGCCTCATGGTATCATCAGCTTACATTAGAATAATTTATTATTATATACTCTGTGTACATGTGGTTATCCATATCACAAATCTGTTATTTCAGATTTCGTTTTCTTTTCTACAAAATAGTAGTACATATATGTACAATGGTTTGGTGAGGCCGGTTCGCTATTCAAATTATTTATTCAACTTACATTAGTATTATTTCCTTTCAGTCTATCTATAAAAGAAAATATTAGCCAAAATAAAAAATAACTTATAGAGTTACCAGTGTCATCCATATGAGCTTCCATCGCTGAATTCATAACAGTGAATTCATCAGCATGTCTAGGATCTGTCACTCGTATTTGAACACATTCGGAGAAGTTAGCTGGGAATACCAAAACAAGGCGAGCTTTACCTCTCCCCGCAGCTCGCATAGCTTGCTCTTTTGTTGGGTAATAGACCTAAAACCGTAATTTTGTTAAAACAAACTTTTAATCAACCAATAACCTAGTAAGGGATCATCATCATCTTTATCATTATGGCATCATTACAAGAACTGCAATCACAAATATTAGGTTAAAGGAAAAGACACTTGTTTTCAAAGTTTAGTTATATTTAATTATAATATATATGTGCCATTTTATTCGATAACTTGTTGCCATATTTTTGGTAGTAACATAATTCCATTGCAGTAGAAATCTTGGGATTTTTGATGAAAAAAAATGCGACAAGTAGTTTTGACAGTTGCCTCTCGATGTTAACCTAAAACTACCCAAAGAATTCTGAAGAGATCGAAACAGACGATAATCTGAGAACGCAAGGTCAGGACTATATGTTGTATTTATTAACACTTCCCAACCAAGCTCCCTCAATTTTTGCTGAATGGCCAAAGATGTGTGTAGTCTGACGTTATCATGATGAAAGACCACTCCTTTAGGTACTGTTGATCAACTCCGGCCATTTGTTTTCTCAACTTCTTGCTTAAGTCTCATTAGATGTTGGCAGTGGATATCTGAATTGATAGTTTTACCATTCCAATCCCAACATACACACAGCATCACCTTATTTCATGTTAATACTGGTTTCTCTACAGTCTGTGGAGCTTGACCACCCTTTCTTCACAAATTTTTCACACATTCTTGTTGTAGAAGATCCACTTTTCATCACCAGCGATCAATCTTTTCAAAAACGATTTGGTTTCATTACTTTTCAATACAGAATCGCAAATATGTTTCCTTCAGTAAACTCGTGTGGTAACCAAATATTAAGCTTTTTTGTATAACCAGAATTTTTCAAATGGATCAAACCTGTTTTGTGCTCAATTCCTCTGCTATGTCGTAACTAATAATAATACTCTGTTTTTTTTTTTAAATGGCATCCACTTTATCCGTATAAGAGCGACCATAGCGAGCTGCAACTTTGACATCAAAATTCCCGCAATGAAAACGCTTGAATCAACTTTGTGCTACTCTTACTGACGCTGCATTAGGTCCATAACGTCACAAATATTTTTCTCGGCTTGAGTCGCATTTTTCCCATTTTTGTAATAAGTTTTCAGAATCAATCGAATTTCTTCGTTATTCACTCATTTCAGTGGATAGAATAACAATTTAAAAACGGCGAGAAAGTGCTTTTTACTTTTTATTTTTTTTTCTTAATTTCTTATATGTATTGATATTAAAACCTGCCAGATACAAACAGCACAACCAAAGAGATTTTTCTTAAATTTTACACAAACAAAATATGAAGAAACTTTTTCCCCGACCTATTATAATATAAGCCTCCCATAGTTTACTTTATTTATTTTGATTACTATAAAATTGCAGACTAACGAACTTACAGTCCACTTGATGGTAACTGGCCACTGCAGCCCATGGACACCTGCAGCCAACTTCAACAAAGGAGGCTCCAGATGCGTTGTCAACTCCGAGCACTAAGACCGAAAGACTCCTAGCCTGAATTATACTGACTCTCTGTACCCTTGAGAACGAAACAATGCAGTTCACTAACTGCTATTTTGACGGCAGATATAAAAAAGAGAGTGGTATCTTATCTACTTAGATTTACAAAAATGAAAGTATGATTTTTAAACTTGTGTTAACAGCTCTATCTAAAAATACACATTTTAGTTTCCAACCCAGGTCTTAACATTTTTTTTAAATCTTATCATCATTCCTGTCTTTCACAAGTGCACTGCTGAACATAGGCATCCCTTGGGGGAGCCTGCCATGCCACAAAACACGGTCATGAACCTGCATCCATCGACTTCCTAAATCTCTTACCCGGTCGTCATTCCAACTAGTGTAGGGTGGGGGGGGGGGGATACTTTGCTAACCGTTACGGGGCATTGGTTGTCGGTTTAGTTTAGCTCACCCATCCATTGAGCTGTGTCGAATACTCCGGTTCTACATTTCCTCATTTTGTAGTCTAAAATTGTCTAATCATGCAAAGAAACTTTAAGCATGGCTTCTCTCAAAGGAATATAAACTTACCAAATTGCTTTGGCGTTGCGACAAATAATCTAAATATTGACAGCTAAATCTTGTCAAATTCCACTCGTATGTTTCTTGATTTTGAGGGCAATATGTCTTGTCGTATTCACAGATTGGTGACGTGTTGTTGGGGCCCATCTCATAGTTTACCACCGCGATGGGTAAACCGATTGGTTTATGGCCAATAGCGAGACAGAACAGTATCATTTGCGATACTGGCAATCCAATGATAAATGCAATCAATCTGTAACAAAAAATAGTAGATATATTGTTATAAATTATTTACAACGGTAATCACTTACTACGAAACCAAAATTACCAAAGTACTTTTTTTTGAGGTTGTGAACTCTTACGGTTGTAATTTTGCCAGTCTCAAGTAATAATATTTTTTTAATTGTAACATTTCGATTCAAAAACGTCTTTACTTAGTATGCCAATGCGTCACGTTGAGAAGTTTTTGACGACAGCCTCATCTTTGACGACACACCTCTAGGTCTGAGCATACATTTACCATAATATAGTGTGTATGCTTTTTTTTTTCACTTTGTTTGTCACCCGTCTATATAAAATAATGTTAATAGGCTATAGTAATAAATGTGCTCACCCAAAATTTCTAAATAAACTAAGGAAATTCTTCCAAACTAGTGCTTTCATATGGTTCCATTTCATCGGTTTTATGCGTTCGAGACAGCCATTTGGCGGTTCCTCTTCTGGAGGCAGGTCCTCTACGGGTGAGTTAAGTTCTGTTGCCACCACGACTCGACTTTTGCTGCTCATGGAAACGTTGTCACCGAATTCACCAGATATCTCACCAATCTCTGCATCTTCTATGTCTAATACAGCTGGATCCTGGTATAAAAATATTAAGTTCAGTTAAGTTTTTGATGAGAAACTTCTTTAGGCGCGTTCGGCAATGTTTGTATAAGTGAAACCTTGTGAGTTCGCATTACTAACTTAATTTTTGGTCGTTTCCATTGTAAGTTTTGATTAATAAATAAAAGATATTAAAATGTATATAATTGTTGCTCGGAGTACCGATAGATGTGAAAACTAGACTAATGTTAATGATTTTAATTTAAGGGGAAATATAATCTGGATATAAATTGGAATTGGGCGTCAGGAAACAAGCTTCAGGACACCGATAGTTTAGGTAATTTCTTTTTACAATGAAAATAATGGTAATTAAAAAAAAAATAAAAACATAAGCCCTGCTTTATAGTTAGTTCAGTTAGTATGAAAAGTTTCATGATCTTATTTAAAGTATTTTATGAATAACAGAGGTTTATTGTTCAGTTTGGAGGTAACTTCGGATTTTTTTCTATCGAGAAAATTTTACTGAATTATGTTTTCGTCTAACATAGTCGTTAACATTAGTCCTCAACTTTACCATATATTTATTTCAAAATTAATGCCGCAATATTTTCGGCATAAGGGAGGATCTTGCTAAGCCATTTTAAGGTTTTATTTCCCCTTAATGAGTATGAAATATTAATGTTTAATAATGCCACAAAAACACTATTATTACACAGTTTTAAGTTTTTACTTCTGTCGGCAAGTCCTAACAACTGTCAAAATTTTTCACATTTTATAAAGTTTCAACTGCTGTTTCTCAATTATTTCAACAAAGAAGAAAAAAAATAAAGAAAAACCGTACGTAGAAATGAAAAAAAAAATAACTTATATATCCATTACGTTTATCAATTTACACTTAATTAAGAGGTACTTAAAATTAAATCTTATTTAAATGTTTCGTTAACGCAGCTGCAAAACATTTGATTTCGGCGCTGCGGGGCCGCGGGTTTGAATACCGCACGAAACAAGTGTTTATAGGAGAATAGTCTACAAATTATTGTTCCGTGTGTTGGATTTGATGTTTGTATGAAATAATCAATAAAATGATATCTGAAGAATAAGTATAAATTTTAGTTTAATACTATTCCTATTTTCTTACTTCACGTTTAGTATTTTTGTTGTCAATTTTCTTAAAATCATAAATGACAAACGAATGTCCACATGTTAAGTGGTTATTATTGTCCATAGACATCTGCAGCCAACTTGCAACAAATAAGGCTACTGGTATTACCTATGAGGACTTAGTAGTGATGTCTTACTGCCTGTAATTATATAAGCTCTCTATACCTTTCAGACCAGACTGAGGCCCTAGACTGACTCGTTAGCCTAATGGTTGTAGTAGTGCGACTGCTGATCATGAGGTCATGGGTTTGAATTCCGGGTCGGACCATAAAAATCAATTATTGAGTGTTTCCATCAAAAAATTCTAAGTAGCTGCTTGGAGTCAGGAAGTTGACGGTGTCTCACATCCGTGCCTCGGAAAGCACGTAAAGCCGTTGGTCCTGCGCCGGATCTCTCTCAGGTCGTGTCGGCTTACCGTCCCATCGGATTATGAGAGTGAGGGAATAGAAAGTGCACCTGTGCTTGCACATACACTTGCGCAATCAAAATCCTGTCCTACGCTGATGGCTGGCCTCCGTTGAGGCAGGCCACCGTGCCGAAATTCGGTCTGGATGACATTATTATAGGAATATGTTGCTGCCCAGTTTAATCCTCCTATTTCAGTTTCACTCTGTCTCCTTTTTTGATACCCATGGAATCATATGAGATAGTGGTTCTTCTCATACTAATATATATCAGTATATATATACTCACGGGTATTGGTGGTAGTTCCACCTTCTCCACCACGTTCGCAAGAATACTGGAGCGACGACGTTTGCCCTTATTCTGCAGAACTGCTAGCTTCAAGAATACATCCTCGAGACTGTCGGCCTGATAACGTCGGATCAGTTCAGTTGGAGATTCTTCAGCAAGAAATCTGCCACCACGCATCAAACCAATCTGGAAAAGTTGTTAACATAATCGTTATGTTTAAAACACAAACATATATACTAAATTACACTTTAACAAAACTTAAGTTATAGTTTCATATAATGTCTGCCATAATAAATGGTTTTCTGACGTGACAACGTCTTGTAAATCGATGAATGTCGGCTGCACGCACGAAAAAGGATGACTCATCGTAACGTTACTCTCATTATAACTTATAACGTTACGATCGGAGCTATAGCGCTGCACGAGCGAGCGAAAGGCACGATCGGCTTGAGCGTTCGGCTTGCGCCACATCTATCTCTCTTCCACAAAGTATGCAATCATTTCATCAATGTTTTGTTATGACGTCGTCACGTTAAACTATCGTCCGTAAACCGAATTTACAGACAACCAATTTACTTATTTTTTGTGATATTGATTATTGTAACAGTCGAAGTCTAAACGCAATAGTTAAGCATATAACTAAGGCTCTGATTTCCTAACCAAAAAGGTTTATTGGGCCTAGGTACCTCTTTCAAACTAGCTGTCTCGTTGGTGTAGTAATCATAAGCGCGACTGCTAATCATATGATCCCGGGTTCGAATCCCACATCGAACCAAAATCAATCAGTGATTTTTTTATCAAGAAATTCAGATTAACGGCCCACAGTTTTTGTCGGTGTTTACCCCCGTATTTCTGGAAGCACGTAAGGCCGTTGGTCAATCGCCTGGTCTCTCTCCAGTCGTGTCGGATTGCCGTCCGTCTATGAGAATCAGAGAATAAAGAGTGCACACAATTGTCCACCATATTCCTATCCAGCAGAGAGGACTGGTCTCTTTTAAACTGGTTGCTGTAACGTCGGCGGATAAAGAAAACAGGTAAATAATTTTACTTCTTCATGTTTAAGGAACAGAAAATTGTGTGATGCCCATTAATACACTATTCCACCAAAATTCACTTTTATAATGTTGGAGCTGGAAGGTAGTAAAGTCCAGTAAATGACTACATCTCCTCAATTAAGCCCCTAACGTTCGAGGCCCTTACCTGCGCATGGTCCTTCAGTAATTTTTAAATAAAACAATATAGTTATAAATATTGCGCACTGATTGAAAATATGTACTTACAATATTAGCCTGCTTAGTTTCGTCAATGTAATGCGTTGTGATAATAACGGTCGTCTTTCCTCCTTTGCAGATGTCGACGAGGTGATCCCAGATACTGCAAAATTATAATTTTTCTTAGGTTACAAAAGCCATCGATTCATGCCTTTGATAACATAACAATTAATTCTACCAGCATCATATGTGGATAAATATAGTCTAAAGCTATTCAAAGTAGACGGTCCAAAAGTGTATGAAGCGTAAGGCCTGGTTTTGTACAAGGAAATAAATTAAAATAATATATTACACCACTTCTGGTCATTCAAATCCACGAATTTGCCTTTATTTCAGTGGTATTAATATTTTATTCTTACCAAAAATTGCAACACTAATGGCGAATTGATGTCGTTTTGACGTTAGCTGTCAACTGTCATGAGGTTATTGATCAATTTATTGACAGATATTTCAATTCTGAAATGCACTGCTGCATTCGTAAAATACCACTGAATGCCTTTCACGTAGACTTATTATGTACAATGGCTAAAAATGTCTCGAAACTAATATGATTCAAAATGTGATTCTACAGACGTCCGATATTAACGAAATCAAAATCTCACATAAATCATGAAGTCCATAAAACAAAAGCCGAGTGAAACAAATAGTTAGAGATCCAAAGTCCAAATAAAAAAACCCAAATCGCCAAAGAAATCCAAAGGAAACTCAATAAACGTATTCATAAGTTCACAGCTACACAAAAAACAAAAAATATCACACTACCTACATTATTTCTCAACTAAACACTCAAGTCACTTATTTGATATTGGACATGTAATTTTAGTATTGGAAGGGCGCCATCTTGTAAAATCATCAAAAATTGGAATTGCATTTTTATTTTTAGCAAGTAATTTAGTTTGATTTATTATTTTATTATATTTTCAATAAAATCCCTGAGTTTTTCGCTTTTTTGTATAGTGTGCATAGACTGGGCCTGAAATGGACCCTTTCCTTTAATTAAAACGATATCATGTCTAGAATTTTGGTTCGGTCATTACTGCCATCTGAAAGCAATGTTTAAGCACGAATAGGTTAGTTAAGCCGTTGCCCTTTACCAGTCTATGAAATTTGAGCGGCCAAAGTCTTGTTATTCGTTCTGAACGCGCATTTAAAGTTGGCATTTGGAATTAAAGTTAAAATGACGCAACTAACAAGTGTTTTTGTTTTTAATATTTGTAATAAAAAACATATAGCACGTTTTTTATATTCCTACATTGTTATTCAATTCTTATGTATGTTTAAAATTTAAAGTCTCTAGCTCTAGATTTCTATTACTAGATTCCATCCGCGAAACAAAAAAATGGATTATAATACATCGTCATCGAGTTGTGAGCTTCCCAGAAAGTTTCAGCCGAATAGCTAATCTAATCGGGAAGTATTCGAAATTTGAGTTGCAAGATTCCACCCGGAACGTCAAATGAACAGACAAACAAGAAAGTGACTTAACGAAAACGTGGTAAAAATTAAATAATCATAGAGAAAACAATTATATAAATAAAGTTAAATTACACAACTAATTATTATAAAGATTAGAGATAATAACTAACTAAAACAGTTTTATGATGCATTCCTCATATAAATGATTCCTTTGTCTCAACAATTAGACGATGATGAAATTCATTTGTGTTGACGACCGTACCTTTGTCTCAATACGGGGTCGACTCCCACAGTTGGTTCATCCAATATCAATAGCTCTGGTTCATGCAGCAGCGCAGCCGCGAGCGATACTCGACGCATTTGACCTCCGGATAAATTCTTTACTTGCCTGTTCGCAAAAATTTTTTTAATACTACATTTTGGAGATTTTAATAATATATTCTTATTTTAATTCAGATCTATTATTGTGAGAAATATTTTTTCCATGGTATAGTCACGCTGCAACAGTATTATAGCACGAATGGGTCGGCTTGACCAAGAAAGGAGAACACTATCACAGAATACCAACGTTAAATAGCAGCTTAGTCGTGATGTGTTTCGTATAAGGAGTGTAATGAAACGAAACCATTTTTGCTGGAATCAAAACTCTCAGAGGAGACAACGCGTCTGCATTTTTTTGATCCTAAATGTAGTCTATGGACCACAGTATGCGCTTACCATCATACAGGTGGACTGTGTGCTCGTTAGTCACCCTTATTCTATTAAAAAGGTTAATTAGAAAACTCACAGTATTTAGTGTAAGGAATAATTTTAATAATTTTTATTTGTTTATAACATTTATAATGAAAACACCTCTGATTCATCAAACAGCTATCAATGTTCAAATGTTTTATTCATTCCCATTTGATGTGAAATTATCTCTTTGTTTCTATAACCATTGAACAAAACGCCTTGCCTTGTGGTTGCGGTCACCATAATATATATGAATTATGAATCACATATATAATAACGTTTTAAAACAAAGGGTTTTAAGAGAACATTATGCTGCTAATTTGTACTGGTTTGTTTCGGGAGATAGTGGAGAACCGGAGATCCATATTACTGAGAATGAGGCATTCCATCTTAGTCCTCAAGGGATTCTTTACTGTTGATAGATGTAGATATCTATGGGCCACGACATCCACTTCTCATCAGGTTGACTGTGTTACTCGTTTGTCACTTTCATTCTGTAAAGGATATACCTTTCCTTCAGTCATTTCCACTTTTTCTTCTAATGTGCACTCTAAATTTCCCTCAGAAGGCGAATTTCCACTCATTGCGTAAACACTAAATACCTTGGTTTGTATAGTGTACAATCACACAAATTACTATCGCTTTTTGAACGTGAGAATGTGAACCGAGGCAATCGATAAATATTATTTTATAAACTATGATAAATTTCTACAATTCAATACAACTCACAACAATTCAGATTACAATTCAACCTAATGATAGGTGATAATGAAGTTTTGGGTTGTTTTTTAGTAATGTCCCCACAGGAGGATTTTTTCTTATATCGTGGAGGTGTCGGTATCGAAAACTAGTTTGTACGGCTAACAAATATTTTATCCGTGAGGGAATCAAATCCTCCTCCTCGCAGGCCGCAGCCAAATGGTTAGCCACTGCGGTATCAAGACATTAAATTAATTATCTAGGTTGCGTATTTAGCAGGGATGGGAGATGTGATAAGGATATAGATCGACGAGTGAATGCAGGAAATAGAGTAAATAGGGGCCCATTTACTCTATTTCCTGCACTACACTCTATTGTGAAGAGTCAAAATGTGTCGAAAAAGGCACGTATGGCAATTCACAATGCTGTGTTGGTCACTACTTTAACGTATGGTAGTGAAAGTTGGGTGTGGCAGAAGAAGCACGAGAGTAGAATGAACGCAGTAGAAATGCGGTCGTTAAGGAGTATGTTAGGGCTGAATCTGAATGACAGGATGAGAAATTGTGTGATAAGAGAAGAGTGTGGTTTGCAAGATGATGTGACCAGGATTAAGAAAGGAATGCTTCGGTGGTTTGGTCATGTGGAAAGAATGAATGAGGAAATAGTGACAAAGGAAATTTATGTTGCAGAAGTGAATTTCCACAGTTGCAGAGTTGGAAAGGGATGCCCTAGGCGAAAATTTATAGACCAAATTGGCAATTTATTGAAAACGGGCCAAATTAGGAGTACCCTTAACCGACGAGCATGTATGCGTAGGTATATGGATGTGAAGGAGGCGAGAGAGGTGTCAAATGGAAGTCTGTAGTCTCTGCCTATCCCTTTGGGTGACAGGCGTGAGTGTTTATTTATTATTTATTTTATATAAATTAATGACTGTTATTTTCGCCAACTTAAAAAAACTATATTTCTCTTGAAGACTACTACATTATACGCAAACAGAAATATTTTACTGCTACTAATTACTAATAAAATTTAATCTTACGAAATCTTGACTTACTTGGTAGGGTTCGGTAACTGCAGTAGGGCTATCAAAAAGTCCGTTCTCTCATCCACCTCCCTAGACTTCATGCCTGCGATCCAACCAAAATAAGTCATGGTTTCACGTATTGAAAACTCTCCGAAAAGCGCTACTTCCTGCAATAAAAAAAAAAAACAAAAGTAATTTACATGAGCTTCAAAAAAGCTTAAAATATTCATATCGACCTTCCTTCATCGAATTTCCTAATGAAGTAAATATTGTATATAATATAAAAAGGCGTTTTTTTAAATAATTATTTTAATACATTTTCTTTGAAAAAAAATCACCAATAAAAATAGAATCGAATATTTTTTATTATTGAATATTATTGTTGAATAAAAAAAAATATTCTTTTCTAAGATTTGCTTTACTTCGGCGTTTTATTTACATTGTTTGCTTGATTGATTGGTGATTTCTTTCAAAGAAAATGTATTATAATAACTATTAAAAAACCGCCTTTTCTATTACATAAAATATTTACTTCATTAGGAAACTCTATATTCATAGATTGAAGTAATCTTATTAAAAGTCAATTTTTTACTTTACCACTGGTTCAAAAAAAACCAGCAACAAATCCAGCGGGACTTTTTTTTTCATAAATTTTACAAAGTCAATGGTCACAAAATATTTACAAAATTTATTTTAAAAACAGCTTGGTTCCGACCACCTCATTCCTATGGGTTATTATCAACCATGTATTCATTTATTTCATAATAACCCTTTTTATACAGTTTTTATTTAATTAAATATTTAACTTGGTTATAGAGAGACCTTATTTTCTGGGACTTTGTTGTTATAGTGTATGCATTGCTCTGAGAATGAATTATTGACTCTGTGGAGTCGAGACTGGTATCAATAGCTTGTGTTTGTTCCTAGTGTTTACAGAGTGTATATCACTTTTTTTTACTAAAACTAACTTTGTTTTGTGAATATACATTAAATTTTCATAGATATACTGAGAGGCCAAAGTATTTATATTTATTCCTTAAAATTTTTCTTTAAGAGACTCTCTCGGTTTAAGGTTGTAAATAGCTCTTATGACCCTCTTCTGTAAAACAAAAATAGTTTCTAAATCAGCCGCATTCCCCCATAGCAAAATCGCATATGACATAATGCTGTGGAAATAACAGAAATAAACTAATCTAGCTGTCTCGACACTAGTGAGATCTCTAATATTTTTACGGCATAAGCAGAGCTTAGTCTGCTTGCTAGTTTATATATATGGGGCCCCCACTGAAACTTAGCGTCAACAATGATGCCAAGAAAAACAGAGGATTCAACAGGACTCAATTCTCCCCATATGTATATATATATATATATATATATATATATATATATATATATATATATATATATATATATATAGGAATCTTTTAATGTAATTTTCCAACTTATAGACGACCGATTAACTTGACAATCTGACCGATACAATAACTGACAATACAATAACTTAATATCCTGGTATCCTGATCAGGATCACAATCATAAAATAAAATAGTTCGTTAGTATATATATATATATATATATATATATATATATATATATATATATATATATATATATATATATATAATGACACGAAGGTAATAAAAGCGTGTTAAAAATAATAATATATTAACAAAATGGTGATGAAAATAAAATACACTGACTGCGAACAACGACGAAGTTTTAAAAAGGTTAGGTTAGGATGATCAAGATACTGAAATACCTTACTAAAGGGGGAAAACATAAAAGGTGTTATAAGAAAATGTGGGAAGAACTTAACAGAAATAATAAATAATGACATTACAGTCTGCTCAATGTGGGCGCAAAAAGTCTGAAGTCCAACAAATACTCGTAGAAGCAAGGTCGTTTCGTGCAGGAAAATGCGTCAAGTACTCACACAAAAGACATTTATTAACGTCACGAAACAAATTATGGTGTTAATACTGAGGTAATGTTGAGCTCGAGTTGAAGTTCAGCACGCTTACTCCCTATCAAAACTAACATGTAATATAAAACGTTAATGCAACAGAGAAAATATAATAAATTACATTATGATAAGTCGGCAAAACCGTTGCAAACTTTATTATCAGGAATCATAAAGCAGTTTTAATTGATAACGGAAATAGAAAACCTATTTCTATTATAAGACCGTTGGAGGGAAGCACGTTCGTTCATACTAAGGGATTCATGCGGACGGCAATTGAGGCGTAATCGCCGTCACTTGATAGTACGATATGCAGACAGCGATGTAACGCGCCCGAGGTAACAGCCAAGGCTGTAGCTTCAAATACAGAAGGCACTATGTTTTACTAAAAAAAACAACTGAAAATCAAATTCTAGGTACAAGTGATAAGTTCTGTGTACTATATATGTAGACTATAAGAAGTATAAGAAGTTATATAAGTATAAGAAGTTTATAATATTAAGATTCACAAGCATACAGTTATTGTATCTTTACAGTAAAAAGGGTCACCTGTTCTCCACACTAACCATATGAAACGTAGATGCATTAAGTTAAGCTTCTATTTTACGCTGTTTCTTCCCCGATCGAGCCGATCCATTCGTACTAAAACCATAATATGGCTGCAGCATGACTCTATTACATTAACAACGTCTAAAAGCTACCGATCTAAAGCAAGAAGAAGACTCGTCCACCACTAAAAGGTTAAGAACGACTACTCCAGCGTCGCCCACAGTCGCTTCCTCAGACAGTAACGAGAAGAAATGATGCCATTTTACGCCGCTATCTCATGGCAAGCTAATAGCGGTTTGTATAGTATTAGTACTATTATAGATACCCTTTGTAAGTCCACTGCTGAACATAAGCCTCCGACAAGGAATGGCACAAAGCACGGTTCTGAAGCCACCTGAATCTATCGGCTTCGTGTATTTTTATCCAGCTCATCACTCTATCTAGTAGTGGACCGCCCTACACTTCGCCTACCGGTACGAGGCTGCCACTCTAGAACCTTTCTTCCCCATCGATTGTCGGTTCGCGCCATACCCATTGCCACTTCAGCTTACTAATCCGTTGTGCTATGTCGGTTACTTTAAAGTATTAGTATTATTATGAATACAGTAGTTATAAAACTCTAACGTCATCTTGCTAAGCAACCTTCAAACTCCATTAATTTAAAATTAAAAAAATCGCATCATCTTGCTAATAGCATAGCAGTAATGGACGAATAATTTAATATTCACAAACAAATCGATTATGTTGACAAGGCTCTGTTGTATATTATCAAAGCTTAGTAACACAATATTATACGTTTTGTAATCTAATTGCTTTTTGTTCAATATTCAAGCACACCATCATAATTACCACGAAATACTTATTTTGTGTAGTTAGATCCTATTTTCCTTAGGGTAATATCTAGCGAATCAAGTATAACATACTTAGTCGAGTCGAGATGGATTAGAGGTAAAGTCTAGACAAAATCAAATTGGAGTTTAGATTTGAGCGCATCGTGCTCTCATGGTTCGCACCATATATTATGCACTACATCGAAAGAATGTGACTTAGCTTTGTCCTCTATACGACGTGGCAGTCGTCTTCCCCACATCTCTAACAGATCAATCTGATTAAGATAATTGAGAACCTTTACCGTTACAGCCTATCTAATGTGCACTCCTGAACATAGGCCTCCCCCATTGAAACTTATAGGGGGATATTTTCGTTATGAGAAAACGCTGCTGCCCATCTCCGAGTTTGTTTTCGTCTGGAGTCTTTTACGACACCCACAGGACGATTTTAAAGGTAGGGGATATTCTTACCGATCGTATGCTACCTTATTGTATTCAACTTCTGACGGATGGTGAGCAGAGAGCAGATTATATATGCAATATACGTATGGTAGCAATAGACGGAATATAAGGTACATGAGTGTAATATGGTCAAATTAAGCTTTGCCGCCCCATAAAACCAAAACTAAGAGGAGGACAGAGACAAAAACACAAAGTCGTATACTATTAGTAATATATTAAGAAAACAAAATAAAAATACTTGGGCAATATAAGGAACACTTTGAAAAATCAACTTAAAAAAAAACTAACTACTACTAAAATATTTACTATAATATCAACTGTTAAAATAGTGTCGATTAAGCCTTTTGACCCTGTAGTTTTTGAGTAATAAGAAAGTGACCATGTTAACCGGATTACCATATTACCCTCACGTACTATATTTTTACACCACCACTACACGGTCAAAGTAATAGGTATGAAATAACATGCTGTTTATTTCCAAAGAAATTTGATATACCTATTTCCTTTGCTTAGAAAACAGTCTTATTATACATCGGAAAATTATACATTTATAGTATTTATAAATATCATTTAGTTTGTTCTTAGGTATTATTATGAGATTTATTTAAATACTCGATTACCAATGCCATTTCCTGTATCTTTTCAGATGTATCACTCGTGTCGCACCTAATTAATAATGCAATTAGTTATAATAATAAAGTGAGAAAAAAAGTGTTTTTTTTTTTAAATTTTGTACTAAAAAATTAAATTAACGGATAAGGCATGCCACAGGGGTACTTGGTTCACTTATATTTTTATTGCATATTGATGACATCTCTTAAGTAACGGATAATTTATTAACTTTATTTGGAGACGATATTTTCATGCTATTGACATGCAACAAAAAATCTGATATTGAAAATGACAACGTAGCGATATGCAAAAGAATTCTTTCTTCTTTTGCATATCGCTACATTGTCATCCGATTCTGAGCTATGTTCAAAATCTCTAGCTGATTGTGAAGCGCTTGAAATTTGAGTTGAAATTACAGAGTGACCTGACGGTACCAGACGATTGGTGTGCAGAGAGCAGATTATATATGCAATATACGTATGGTAGCAATAGACGGAATATAAGGTACATGAGTGTAATATGGTCAAATTAAGCTTTGCCGCCCCATAAAACCAAAACTAAGAGGAGGACAGAGACAAAAACACAAAGTCGTATCATCATCATCATCATCATCATCATGGGGGGGGGTGCTAATAATCTCCGGTGGAGGTTCGGTTGCCACCTACGACTCGACTTGGCAATGTATAACGCACGCACCCTGAGGACTGACGAGAAGATACTGGAGCTGGAAGAAGAGGTAGACAAGTTGCGCTGG